ATATTTCAGGGTGTGGTAGGTAGGCTGCATGCAGTCGTGGGACCTAGGTTACATGCTGTCGTGGTACTTATGCTGCACTCGCTCTCTCCCTTTCTCTTGTTGGACGTAGGTGGGTGGGGTTAGGGCCAGTTCTAGATGTTTTGGGGTCGTTAAAAGCCTCAGACAGCCACCCTATAAAATGTTGGTCTGTCCTGTGACGTCATCTGGGGTAAGATATAAAAAAAGAACCTTTCCATCTCACTGCCACCTGGCCAGGTATGGGATCTTCCTACTGAATGTATAGAGCATGTCTGCAGCAAGAGGATGCTAACATGTTACATACAACCTGTTCTGCTGTACGGCAGCGAATCGTAGAATTTCAGTGAACAAATTAGGAAGAATTTGGAAGTAACAGAGATGTGGTTTCTGAGACGAATATTAGGAATACCTCAGACTGCCAGAGTAACTGACAACGGTTGCTTGAAAGAAGCTAATGAAAGTAAATATCTATATAAAACAATAAGAAAAAGGCAAACACTGTTCTTTAGCCACATAATGAGAAGAGAGACATTTAGCCATATTCTTCCCCCCCCCCCCCCACCCACACCCCTTTTTTCTTCTTCTCTTTCACTCAACATTCCTTCTTTTTCTCACAACGAGCCGGCATAATCCACAAAGGGAGGCTGAGTCATCAACAGTTACAGTTTCTCAACATCTGATAATATGATTTCTGAGCTTTAGTTAAAAAGATTTTCTTTCTCCCCCCCCCCCCCCCACCCCCACCCCCCCCCCGCCTTTTCCCGCCTCTTCCTTTTATTACATATCGACATAACCTTTGCAATAATGCACCTGTCGAGACATGGCGAACTATGCCAACCAATAAATTGTGCGATATAATATATTGTTTCTGGCCTCATTATTCAACTTGTTGTTCGACAATCATGCGAATCTTCTCCTTCTTCTTTTGTCGTCTCACTGATACCCGGTTGTAGCCCAGTGTCGTGGTTTTGTCGTCTCAATGATACCAGATTGTAGCCCAGTGCCGTGGTTTTCTTGTCACACTGATACCATGTTGTAGCCTAGTGTCGTGGTTTTGTCATCTGACGGATACCAGGTTGTAGCCCAATGTCATGGTTTTTTTTTTTTGTCTCACCGATACCAGGTTGTAGCCCAGTGTCGTGATTTTGACGTCTTTCTTATACTAGCTTGTAGCCAAGTGTCGTGGTTTTGTCGTTTGGCGGATACCAGGTTGTAGCCCAGTGTCATGGTTTTGTTGTCTCACTGATACCAGTAACGTGATTTTGACGTCTTACTTATACTAGTTTGTAGCCCAGTGTCGTGGTTTTGTCGTCTCACTGATACCTGGTCGTAGCACAGTGTCATGGGTTTTTGTATTTGTCTTGCGCTTTTTGGGTAGCTTAAGTGTTGGATTTGTTCATAGTGTTGTAGGCTTCTGCTACATCATATATCCATATTTTTTTTTTGAACTTCCTCTCGCCTTTCTTCGAGATGTTTTACTGTAAAAAAAATGTCTCATCTGCAGTTTGTTCTGGCCGCATCCTCACTTCATTTTTATCTTTACTTTGCCAATATAACCCAGGTGTTGCATGCGCTTCGTAATTTAGAGGTCCTGTGTTCAATCCCAGCCGTTAGCGATTGGGTACAAGATCACCATATGTTGGTTTCAGCAATGCTATAGAGATCTGACCATTTAGGAAGCAATGGCAAACTACTGAACATAAAACTGCTTTTGTATCTACACGCTCGCCTGCGGATCTAATTGTCATTGATTTAAGTCTTTACGGTGCTGGAACTTTTCTTTTTTATTTAAAAAATGATATTGGCTTCATGGTCGATTCAACTTTAAATAGGTACCAAGTAAAGTCCTGGGAAGCAAGGGCGGCCGGCCTGATGTTGACTGGTCTAAACAAGAATAGGTCCAGCCATATAAGCCCAGAAAGTCTGAAAGTGTATAAAAAGGGTCCTTTAGTAAGACAATAGACATGAAATTAAATCTAACTCCTCTCGACAACACTTTACTACATAAGTAGTGGGACACAAGACAGGAAACTAAAGCTCACACTTCTCAACAGCACTTTACGGCATAAGTAGTGGGACACAAGACAGGAAACTAAAGCTCACACTTCTCAACAGCACTTTACGGCATAAGTAGTGGGACACAAGACAGGAAACTAAATCTCACACTTCTCAACAGCACTTTACGGCATAAGTAGTGGGACACAAGACAGGAAACTAAAGCTCACACTTCTCAACAGCACTTTACGACTTAAACAGTGGGACACAAGACAGGAAACTACATCTCACACTTCTCAACAACGCTTTACTACATAAGCAGTGGAACACAAGACAGGAAACTAAATCTCACACTTCTCAACAGCACTTTACGACTTAAACAGTGGGACACAAGACAGGAAACTAAATCTAACACCTCTTAACAACACTTTACTACATAAGCAGTGGAACACAAGACAAGAAACCACAACTAATTTCTGCGACGCTTGACAGTAATAGCTGAAGGAAAGCAACGGGCGAGAATGAGGTATGAGAGGAAATTTACGACGGATGTACACCTGGAGTCCTACTATGACAGTCAATAATCTTTACCTACCTACATTTAGTTTAGATTTCCCCGCATACATATTTTTCTCTGTTTAGACACATTTGCACATGTATTTCTGTATACACAAATCTGATTCTATAGATCTGCACTGTTCTCTGTATACGAGCACTTCCTTTATATATGTATGTGTACATATATATATATATATATATATATATATATATATATATATATATACACACACACACACACACACGCATGTAGACATCTTTCTTTGTAGACACATGTCCCCTGTAATCACACCGCTTCTCTGTATATACATCTTTGTTTTCGCGTCTTTCTCTATAAACACATTGTTTTCTTTATAACCGTCTTTCACTATAAAGGCAAATTTCTGTGTTTACATATCGTTTGCTGTATAATAACCCTTTCTCCGAATATATTTTTTCTTCGCAGGCACATCTGTCTTTGTACACCCATCGTTCTTTGTACACGCATCGTTCTTTGTATACGCATCGTTCTCTGACATTGTTCTTTATAGATGCATCTTTCTCCGTGCATCAATTTTCTCTTTACGCACATCTTACTTTGGGGGCACATCTTTCCACATTTTTCTCTCTGTACACATATCTTCCTGTTCAGCTGTTGGCTCTTAAAATAGTTGTTGACCTGTTGAGTTGTGGTTCACAGCTGAGCTGCGAGACTTCGCCTTAGTACCCACGACATTCGGTTTCATCATAATCTTAAGAATTCGCTCCTCCCGTCCCCTTTCCACAGAAACTGGGGCTGAGGAATTCACCCAGGGAAACACAAATCGTTGTCTGTGTGCTCATATTTTTCTTTCTCAATGAATATGCTTAAAAAAAATCCAAGCTGGATTTATCAGGCTGCCCTAACCTTCAGATTTGTGCCAGGTCATGCGGGTGTTCAAGGGGATGAGCGTGCAGACTATCTTGCCTACACTGCGGTTGCTATGGCTAGTCCAGTACTGGACATACGTGATGTTAGCAATGCTATGCGCTGTACTTACCCTACCGAGGAGCACGCCAAAGGACATGACTCTGTATTCCTGTCGAGACTGATGGACATGGGGATGCAGCCTGGAGCTGCAAGAAATTAACATTTCACTAAGGAAACAAGACGTTTCATTAACCAACACAGAACAGGCGTCATCAGTCGTTTTACACTAGTGGACCTTTTAACGAGGAGATCGGAGCACGTATGGATTTGTCCGGAGTGCTGTGATGATAATCCTTTTTAATCACCAATCACATATGTTTCTTTATCAGCTGCCTGCACTTGTAAGAACTTTATTTATTTGCCTCAACAGAATCCAAACATCAAAGCTGCTTGGTGTGAGAATGACCAAGACTGTCAAAGTAAGATTGGCGTGATCACACCAACCGGCAATGGTATGTCCTAAGTTTATCACTGCTTGAGATGTGTGCTTGGTGCGATACTGTGAGCTGTGGCTTTCATGAGGAATGTTTGTTTCTACTACGATCGCGTTGTTGACTGCACTAACACGTGCATTTTAGTTGTCGGTCTCATGTCTTTCTATATAACAATATAATGGAAATACGCAACGATATCAGTCCATTTTTTTTTTAAATTAGACACTCAGTCATGCCAGCCTTTTATTTTGTCAAATCGTCCACCTAAGCCAGTTGTTCCTTGAGTAGTTCTATTGACCTACAAACACTAGGTGTTACTAACTGGAAAGAGAAGGCCAACCAGAGACATAAATGGAGGCGATATCCATGAACCTCATGGCGGACGCCAAGCATTGAAGCCACGCAGTGCCCCTATGTTGAAAACGTTAGAAAAAGTCTGAGACTGCATTGGAACCCACAGGGACATAGAAATAAATGCAGACCAAAAAACACACGGGGAAGGAGACTAGTTAGGTAAAGGTGAAAGTGAGAGGATAGACTTCAGTGCACCAGATTTCATCCAGTATGACTCAGTCTCTCTCTCTCTCTCTCTCTCTCTCTCTCTCTCTCTCTCTCTCCGCAGAACACATCACACAGTACACGACCTCCGTATTTCCGGTGACGATTCCCAGAGATTTCTGTAAAAATTTCACTCGTGAACCAAAGGGCCTCGCCGTGAAACGAACCCACGACTTTCAGAGCACCAGGCAAACGGCTTGACCACCTCGCCATGGAGATCCCCAGGTGGCTAGAGAGTGAATCTGAAAAGAAATAATGATAGAACGATTTGGTGTAAGGTGGCTGAGAGCCTATGCTCCATAGGGGATAAAGGGTCAACGAACAATGGTTAATGGCTTAGGTTCCCTATATGTGTTTTATGTTGTCCAGTATGTTGTTTTATGTTCTGCATTATGCAATAATTCACTCTCATTTAATGTCAGAAAGAGGATGCTAAAATGTTACATAGAACCTGTTTGCTATGTGGCAGCGAATCTTGGAATTCGAGCAAACAATTTAAAAAGAATTTGGAAGCAAGAGAGATGGGGTTTCTCAAACGAATGTTACGAATACCTTGGACGGTCAGAGTAACTAACAACGATTGCTTGAAAGAAGCTAATGAAAGTAAAAGTCTATAAGCAACAATAAGAAAGAGACAAATATTTTTCTTTGGCCACATAAGGAGAAGAGAGACATTAGAGAACATCGTGACAACTGGAAAGATCAGTGGAAAAAAAGGTTAGAGGCAGACCAAGAGAGATGATGCTGGATGGGCTGAAACGATGGCATGGAGGGATATCATCAAGAGAGCTGTTCCAGGCAACCAGAGATCGTGATCTATGGAGACGCATGAGAGCCTACTCCAGTTGGCAGGGCACATTATTATGATAATGATGATGATGATGATGATGAATGAACTCTGCATGTCTGTAACATTTCTCACCAGGTCCCTTTACTGGTAAATGTGTCCAATCAGCCACTTTGCCAACCCGCAAAGTCTGTGAGATCTATGGCTGGTGTCCTGTGGAAGATGACAGGTAAGAGATGAATCGACCGCTGATGTTTGGGGCCCCAGTATATCACCGGGTCCTTCACGGGAAGCAAAGAATAGTTACACTGCACCTTATCAAGCATGTCGTAAGATGCAACTAAGGGTAGGGTTGGGCTTGAGGTTGGCTACCTCATCCTGACAACAACAAAAAATAGCCACAGAAACTAACCAACCATGGATAAGTCAAACAGAAAAGCGAGTAAAACCCAGCCACTCAGGTGCTCTTCAAGTAGAAGATGAGCAGGACAGAGAGAGAGAGAGAGAGAGAGAGAGAGAGAGAGAGAGAGAGAGAGAGAGAGAGAGAGAGAGAGAGAGAGAGCTGCATGCGGTAGCAAAATAAAAAACTACTTCGTTTTTGTTGCTTGAGGGCCTATGCTCCATCGGGGGCTAGAAAGGCAGACGAAGAAGATATTTGGGGCTTTGGGAGGCTAACATTTTAGATTTAAGCCACGATTCGCGAGTGTTTTTTCTTTCTCTGTTTAATGTTCCTTGTTATGTTATCTTTTTTTCAGTCTTAACATCTCTCTCTCTCCCTCACCCACCCCCCCCCCTCACCCCCATCCCTCTGTCTGTCTGTCTGTCTGTCTGTCTGTCTGTCTGTCTGTCTGTCTGTCTGTCTGTCTGTCTGTCTGTCTGTCTGTCTCTCTCTCTCTCTCTCTCTCTCTCTCTCTCTCTCTCTCTCTCTCTCTCAGATTATTGCCGCTCTCCTATCTTTCTTTCTTACTTACTTACTTCGTCATGCGTGATATTCCTTTCTTTGCTAGCTTGACTTCGTTCTTTCTATGGTTCTATGTTTCATTGTTTGTTTCTTTCGTCTTTCTTTCTTTCTTTCTTTCTTTCTTTCTTTCTTTCTTTCTTTCTTCCTTTCTTTCTTTCTTTCTTTCTTCTTTCTTCTTTCTTTCTTCTTTCTTTCTTTCTTTCTTTCTTTCTTTCTTTCTTTTCTTTCTTTCTTCTTTCTTTCTTTCTTTTTTTTCTTTTCTTTCTTTCTTTCTTTCTTTCTTTCTTTCTTCTTTCTTTCTTTCTTCTTTCTTTCTTTCTTTCTTTCTTTCTTTCTTTCTTTCTTTCTTTCTTTTTCTTTCTTTCTTTCTTTCTTTCTTTTCTTTCTTCTTTCTTTCTTTCTGTCTTTCTTTCTTTCTTTCTTTCTTTCTTTCTTTCTTTCTTTCTTTCTTTCTTTCTTTCTTTCTTTCTTTCTTTCTTTCTTTCTTTCTTTCTTACTCTGTCATTTTTAATATTCCTTTCTATGTAAGCTTGAGTTTTTTCTAAGGTTCTTTGTTTCATTGTTTATTCGTTCGTCTTTCTTTCTTTCTTTCCTTTTTTTTCAATATTTCTTTCTTTCTTTCTTTCTTACTCACTTTCCTTTTTTTTCTTTCTTTCTCTCGTTCTCTCTCTCTTTCCTTCTTACATACTTTATTTCCTACTTGTTTTCTTCTTTGTTATTTGTTCATTTCTTTCGTAATGTTGGTTTTGTTTTTCTGAACACCTTTTATTTAGCTATTGAATTTCATTACCACTCTCAGGCCAAGATATCACAGTTTAATTGAAACCACAAAATAAATCAACAATTGTCCTCTTGAGGGCCAGCGCATAAAATTAACGAAGATGCATATTGTAGGATATTATCTAAGTTATTAATAAGATAGTTTTTCATTTCTTTCTTTCCAAAGTAAAAAGAATTTGTTCACGTTCAACGACTCCGAATTCTTTACTGTGCTTATCAAGAACAACATCGAGTTCCCGAAGTTTAACTTTAGAAAGTGAGTGAATTATCAGTTCGATCTGTGTTATAGTTTTGAAACGTGGGTTGTTGTAGGGAAAATGAAATGAGAGTGCAAAAATTGTATATTATTCGCCTTGTAGTGTGTTTAAACATGATCACCATCTCCTATTTCTCTGATCTATCTAATATTCCTCCTCTTTCTCCTTCTTCTGTCTCTTCTTCTTCTTCTTCTCCTCCTCCTCCCTCCCTTCTTCTTTTTCTTCTTCTTCTTCTTCTTCTTCTTCTTCTTCTTCTTCTTCTTCTTCTTCTTCTTCTTCTTCTTCTTATTATTATTATTATTATTATTATTATTATTATTATTATTATTATTATTATTATTATTATTATTATTTCTAATTTTTTTTCTTCTTTTTCTTCTTTTTCTTTCTTTTTTTTTCCTCCTCCTCTACTACTACTACTACTACTGCTGCTGCTGCTGTTGCTGCTGCTACTACTGCTACTACTGTGGCTGCTGCTGCTGCTGCTGCTACTACTGCTACTACTGTGGCTGCTGCTGCTACTACTACTACTACTACTACTACTACTACTACTACTACTACTACTGCTGCTGCTGCTGCTACTGCTACTACTGTGGCTGCTGCTGCTGCTGCTACTACTACTACTACTGCTGCTGCTGCAGCTGCTGTTGCTGCTGCTACTACTGCTACTACTGTGGCTGCTGCTGCTGCTGCTGCTACTACTACTACTGCTATTACTACTACTACTTCTACTACTACTGTGGCTGCTGCTGCTGCTACTACTACTATTACTGTGGCTGCTGCTGCTACTACGACCACCACTACTACCACGACCACTACTACCACGACCACTACTACTATTACTACCAGCAAACAGACCCTCTGCTCACTTCCTGCTTACTCAATCTCTCGAAGTATTAACACTCTGTTCAGTTCCACTTTTCACTTGATCCTGCTCATCATGTAGAAGGTGCTTTGTAGAACGTCGCTCTCTTTGTAAGTGTGAAGGAAAACCGATCTATTCCCAGCTCTCTCACCCAACGTGTGCCTTATTTCCGGTGCCCATGTTCATCCGGTAGTCCGTCTTTCTTCTGACCTGCTACTGTGCCTTCTGGTATTTTTCTTTCCAATTCGCCGTGGCGCTTGATATGGCCAAAATATTTCAGTTTCTAAGACAAGATCTATCTTGATGTTCAGATCTTTTAAGATGTTAGTATGTCTTTTCTAAAAGAACCTATTTTCTTCCTTAATGATTAATGTTTAAGTGTCAGACTTGGAAATTATCAAAGACTGGCTGTTGTGTGTTTTTTCTAGGCAAATTTACGTCCAGTAGTTTGTATCAAAAACTAACCTGCGTAAAATTTATATCTAGGAAGTGAGATGCGTGAGTAAAGACGCCAACCTAACCATCCGAGACAAAGTTAGAAATGATATTATTAGACAGACTGTGGGAAAACACCACGCAGCAAATTCATTGAGAAACAGAAGATCAAATGATTTGGTGATTTAGTAAGAATGCAGCCAGAACAACTACCAAAGCAGACGCTACACATGACATATTCTGAAGTGAAACCAAGAGGCCGTCCTAGGAAATGGATTGATGACTTTAAAAAGCAATGGATTACAAACTATTCCTCCTCACAACGCTTAACAGCACAAGTGGATAATGATGATGCTTAATTATCAAACTCATCATTAAAACAAATAAATAATTTCGATAGACTGAGAGACAGCTAATTGTGACACCAGAGATGAAATGCCTTAGAAGAGCTTCGGGAGTTTCAAGGAAAGACAGAATACGAAATCATGAAATCAGACGAACGCTAGGAATAAAGCCAGTCTTACAGGTCATCAAAGAACAACAAATGAAGTGGTTTGGACACCTAAAAAGAATGCACTGGTACTATCCGACACAGCGAGCCACACTAAAACGTTACAACGGGTACAGAGCGAGTGGAAGACCTCGGAAAATATGGAGTGATGGCATTAAGAACAGCCTTACAGAAATGAACATCAGTCTTAATAGTGCTCTTGATAGAGCTAATCAACGAACATTACATCTCCCCCGACATTTCGATGAGGTTGTTGTTGTTGTTGTTATCGATCCAGCGGCGCATGAGCTTTCGCCCTTTGGCCCAAGCTGGGGTGTCTGTGGATTACCTACCTCCCCGGGCAGCTCTTCATGGCTCTAAGCATGGCCTAAGCATGAGTAGTTGGGGCAACTGGATCGTCACGTCCTGAGTCCCTGTGCCTTCAAGATAGTTTCCGGTATTCAAGGGGGTTAGCATACTTGTTTCCATTCCTAAGACTGTTCAGCACACCTCTGGCTCCTTCCCTCCCACAAAGGGACAGTACGGTGTGGTGCACCGGGTTTATTATCGAGGTTTGCTCCTCTAGATCCATTGTGTTTTGCCTGGGGATTCGCACCCCCAGTTACCAGGACTACCTCGGGGAGGCTGTGACTCTTCGCCACGCACAATGGTCTTGAGGTAAGAGAGGTTTTGCTAGCTCAAGAGGCTGACACCACAATGGACGCTCCTTTCGTGAACAGATATTCACTTGACCTAGGGTGAAGTAAGGGGGGTGAACCCACTACCCACAACACCAACACTTCTTACCCCCTGCCTCTCGAGGCTCAGTCCCAAAGGTAAAAGGTGGAAGAGAAGAAGATTGAAAGACCTGCTCCGATCAGAGCAGCAACAGTCGCTTCAGAGTTCCCTTGTAGTTAGGGTTCTTTATATACTTATTCCAAAGAATGCAGGTGTGATAGGAAATGAATAGACTGACAGATATGGTGGTGCTGCAACACTTGGTGGGGAATTGATGTATGACAAGCTGGATGTGGTCAAGGCTTTTCGAGAGCAAGTAAACAATGCGCAGAGATCACTGCAGAGTGGAATGAATGGATTCGTGGGGTGGAAACGGGAACTCTCGCTGACACTCTATACTCAGGGGGGAAAACGGGAAGGACACATAACCCATTTGCGGTGTTTTATTAATATCCTAACCCCAGATAACATCATAGGACAGTCCAACATTTTAGAAGGTGGTAGGACAAGGTTTCTTGGCTTTCTGATGCTTTTAACGATCCCAAAACATTTAGAACTGGCCCTAACCCCAACCCACCTACGTCCCACGAGAGAGTGCAGCCTAGGTCCCATGACTGCATGCAGCCTAGGTCCCAGCCTATCCACCACCCCCTGAAATATTAGACTGTCCCGGGACCTGTAGATTTCCCCTATTTTGGGTAGGATATTAATTAAGCCCCCTTTTGCTGCTGGTACATCGGAACTGAAACTCTTCGCTGGCTGCTGAAGATAAGGATTGAACTCGTATGGGAATTTCCAGAGTGCCGTGTTGTCAGTTCTTAACTTGTGTTAACTGAGTCAACAGATAAATCTTTTACACTTTCATTTCGTCTTGCTTTGTAATGAATGCTTTTTATAGTGTGTTCTCACATTCGACGTCACTGCACATTGGGCATTCCTATACGGGCTCAGTCCTCCGATGCAGTAGTTACTCCAAGGTACCTCTACCAGTTTATTTCAATGAGATGTTGATTTTAGTGTCTCCTGCCCTGTCCTCAAAGACGCCATTGAAATGCCCCACTAAGCTTTACACCCAGTTCACGCATCCGTGTTTGCGACAGCAGTTCGTCATTACCCCAAATCTAGTCAGCGTTGATGATGTCACCTCTGTCCATGGTTCTTACCGTTTGTACTGGTGTATTACTTGCCAGATGGTCGGCTCTCTTATTGCCTTGTACTCCCGCTTTCCCAGATGTTTAGATCTAGATTATGGAAATTAACTGCTATTTCCAAACGCTTTCTACACATTCAGAGAGTTAGCTACCTTTTGCGATTCTCCGAAGCATGTTGATGGAGTCTGAAACGATTGCCATGTATGCAACGATTGCTCTGATACCCACGTTAGTGCAGCGGTCATTTCCATGGTCATGGTTGAAGTAGTTGCCTCAGTTGGGTTGAGTTGAGTCAAGAATTGACATCACAGCACGGGGCATTCCCATGCTTTCTCCATTCTCATCTTCAGCCGCCAGCGCAGAGTTCCAATACTGATGGTACCGGTCACAATATGGTTATATGTCTGTCTTGCATTTCCCCTGAGTGTAGTAAGCCGGCCAGACCCTTTGGTTACACCCAGATGCCTCATTCTCTACAGGCCATAGTAATCTTGTTTCTCTGATTCCGTTGCTCGTTCCCAAAGGTTCGAGTGAGCCGCGTTAGCAGTCTATTGGAGGCTCGCTTTCAAATCCAGCTTCGACTCGCTGCAGCCAAGGTCGATGTTCGAAACCGGGCGGTTCCTGGGGTTCACCCAGCCTCTAGGAAATGGGTACCAGAGTTGACACTCTAGGTTGAATGAAGCTGTAGCTACGGAGTTACGTGCGGACGGCGACACAGGCGGACAGTTTCTTATCAGCTGCCCGTTCTGGTGGCAGAGCACTTATGGTTTATAACCGTGTGCAATTACGCTGGTTCACATCTCCCGACTTTACCTTTTTACCTTTTTACTATCCCTCTTGATATTTTTCCAGCCATTTAAACTGGGGAATTAATGCCTTGTTGTTCTTGATACTTTTCAGACGGAACATCATGGACTGGTATGCCACTGATTCAGAAATGGGCAAATGTCGATGGAACCCAAATGATCCTCTTGATAAATACTGTCCTATATTTGAGCTTGGGGTTATTGCTAGGGGCGCCGGAGTAGAATACTCCTCCTTACTGACAAAAGTTTGTATATTTTACTCACTGCGATTTTTTTTTTCTTAGTATACGTACGCTCGCCTCGGAAGAAAAGGATGCCGACGGGATGATGACCACATAACCTATGTTGTGTTAATTGGTCTTTAAAATATAGGTCTAGCCCTATATGCCCAATCGCCTAAAGTCGTTGAAAAGGGTCCTTTACTTCTTTTTATTTATATTTTTAATTAGTATATGTCGTTAACATTGTCAGATTCTAGAATTTATTTTCCCTCTAGGGTTGAAGTTTGTGGGGTTAACAATTCAAGTATGAGAATTCAACAAGTACAAGAAATCCTTTTCAACCGTATCGAAATAAAATATCCAAGATGCATAACATCCGGTGTCTGGATATTTTCTCCAGGGGATGCCGGCGTAGTGGGGAATGAACAGGCGGACAGACTCGCTGGCTCTGCGCAAACTAGTGGGATATTGATGCATGATAAGGCAGACGTGGTTAGTGCCTTGTGGAAGAACGTGCACAATTCAGAGGAGCAAAACGGATCATCACAGTCTGGTGAGAGTGATGCAGCGAGAAGTGAATTGAAGCCTGGCCGATACTCGACGCTCAGATGAAAAGCAAGACGAACATTTAATCATACTACTCCTGGCACCATTGGTACTGGAACTCTGTCGAAGATGGGGACGACCCGCTTATGGGAAAACCCCAAGTTCTGAACCAACTAAACTCAACTCATTTAGTCCGCGGTGTAGCCTATCGAAAGGTGGTGGGTTCAGACCCTGACCTAGCATGACTCTTTTCAAAAAATCACATTGGCTCTCAGGTTGACCTAGCCTTAAAAGGGACCAGGTAAAGTCCTCGGAAGTAAAGGCGGTCGACGTAAAGTTGACCTCATCTCCCACGAGTATCGATTGGTTTATAATTATAGGTCTAGCACTATATGCGCAATACACCTGAACGCGTGAAAAAAGTCATTTGTTTTATTATATATAAGTACCAGTATGTGCTTGTTATTATTGTGAATTATATTATTCAGTTAAACAAGGCTTACATCTCCTATCCCCAGAAATTATACAATATTTTATGACCTGAGATCTCCTACCCCATACATATAAATCAACCGTCCCCAATTGTAATTGCCAAGCCCCACCTGGTTGTTGCCGGGGACCCTAATATAACCCAGCCTATGGGTTGAGTGGGGTTTCCGCGACCTCTCCACGGGTGATCCTCATCCGAATGGTGGCACTTCGTGACACGGGGTGTTTATCGCTAGGTGTGATGTCCTAATGGGTTTACACGACAGTCAGTGAGTCCCACCCCACAGATGCTGGAGCAGATGGATTGAGGCACCTTAAGCTTTCACCCCCTCCCCAGCCCCGCCCCAACCACCACCCAAAACAAAATTTTAAAATGTTGATAATGATAATGATGATGATGGCGTTGAAAGATAGTTTACTATTTTCATTTCCAAATTCCATTTCTCTTCTAGGGCGGAATCATAAAGATTATAATAGACTGGAATTGTGACCTGGACTTCAGCGAAGATTACTGCAGGCCGGAGTACTCGTTCCGCTGGCTGGACAGTGGCAATTTTACTGTATCCGTTGGTTTTAACTTTAGGTACAGTTTCGTCTGTGTTTGTAGAACTTTCTCCAGTGCGTTTCAAAAGTCCTACCCCTCACACGTCAACGAATATCTAGAAAAAAAAAACCTCTACGGATGGCCTTGAATGTGACCTTAGATTTCCCATTTTCATATAACTTTATAATATATAATATATACGATTGCACAGGTGCTGCTAATTTCTTAAAGCTGTGAATTTCTTTGATCTTTGTTGGACTAATAATTTGTGTGCCCCTAAAATTTAGAAAACAGTAATTGACACACGCGTAAACATTGTCATAAAATCAGTTCCCATGTCTAACGAAGCCTAGTGATTTTTTGATAGCCTATACCGCAAAAAAAGAGAAATCCACAACTTACGGGGCGTTTATGCTGAAGATGAACAGCTAAGAAAGAAAACCCTATGAAATGCGTGCAATCGGATGTTTTGAAAGGTCACCGTTACTCAGGAAACTGTAAGAATGATTATTGCTTTGAATCAGTGTCTTTTTTCATATACTGCAATAACAACAACAATAACAATAACAACAACAATAACAACAACAATAAAATGGTGTCCCGCAAATTTGTAAATTTGGTACCTGACATATTTATTAGTTTTTTTGTTCTAAATAACTAATTCGTAAAATGCGTCTGTAGCATTTACATTCGACAGCCTAAATCCTCCTTTCCATTTCTACAGTTTCCCCGTGTGGGTTCCGGGACTCTATTAAAGGGAAAACAAGAATAGAACCACTGCCTACCCAAAAGCATTTCGTAAGAGTCGACTAACTGGGAGCTTCCTTTGAAGTCAGAGCGCCTCTGCCTGAGAGGCAAGGAACCAGCAGTCTGCATACAAATGAGTCAGATCTGTAAAACGGATGCACACGCAACATTCAGGTTCTGGAACAGTACTGCAGTCCGGAAGTGAATGAACAACAAGAACTTCCCGCCAGAGTTTACAGCTGGCAGACACGAAGAAGACAGATTTCCACAGTGATAGTCCAACTCTCACATCCTTATGAGAAATTAGACAATACCAGTGATTTGTTAATATTGACCTTGACTGCAACTTCTGATTGTGCTTTTTCACATCGTGTTCAGCTGCGATATCGCGGCTGTTGTCATATCAAGCATTGTCCTAATCTCTCTGGTACAGCTGCCGTCGCTAAATATGTGGGAGCTAAGATAATAAAAGGTTTAAACTTCTTCTAGTTCGGAGCGGCATGGTCTCGAGGCATGGTGTCCGCTTCGAATGCTGAGGGTTCCAGGTTCAAATCCAGGTAAGGGTTGGGATTTTTTACGTGGACTTGAACTTCTAGTGATTCCGCCTGGTCTCTGGGTAGTGAGATCGGACGCCCGTGTGGGAATCGCCAGGCAAAATTTGGAGTTAAACATGTAGCCAAAGTATTTCAGGATTCAAGCCGGTGCTACAGATCCCATGCACTTTGCTGAGCTTCTTTAGACTCAGTCTTGAGTTGGAAGAAGAACGGAGCACTTGGGTTACTACCCGTGTGCCATGATGCTGATCCGTTGTTCAAACCTAAAACTTGTTCTAGTTGTTTTTGTTTTTTTCGCTCTCCTACTGCCCCTATGACATTGAGATGATGCGGTTTTCTCTGTTGCCAGATATGCTGACCATTTCTTCATGAGAGACAACAATACAATCAGGTTCTACCGGAATCTCTACAAAGCCATTGGTGTGCATTTTATGGTGGAGGTCCGAGGTCGGGCTGGGAAGTTCCATTTGGTGAACTTGTTGTTTAACGTGGGCAGTGGAATGGCGCTGATGGGCATTGTAAGAAACCGCTTTGCATTTCTTTGTCAATTTATTTATAGTTAAACCTATGAGGGAAACCGACTTCCGGTCCAATATAAGCTGACAGACCGTTTTTGTCTTGTCATAATATTTGGTTCAGGCCACTGGAAGCTGTTATGTTTTTCCCCATTTGTGGAGCAACAATCGTGATTTTTTACCACCTTTACTGCATCTCCAGTGGACAGATTTCAGATCCAATCAGACGAGAGACAAAGCAAGACAAGGTATCCAGTTTTATAGGAAACCTCCGCTGGAACTACATCGGCCATTCACTCGGAAAGGATAAGATACGGCTCCCCCATCAAGCCCTTATATGGACACCTGAAAGGGAAAGAGAAGGGGGAAGACCAAGAGAGACTGCGTAGAATCATAAACAGGGAGGACCATGGGCCTAATGAACAACTGATATCTAAATCAGGGGGCAACGAACCGCCAGACATGGAGAGCTATGACCTATGTCCTATGCGCCCTCCTAGGCTCAAGAGGAAAGACTAACTAACTCACTAACTAACATGCTACAAACATTTTTAGGAAGTCTTGCAGCGCTACTGTAAAAGACTTGTCTGTAGATCTAGGAGGAGGCTGTGGGTGGAGACTGACTGAAAGTATATAGTTCCATCGCCCAGTTAATGAGTTGAGTGCACGTAGACACTAACGAAGACAAAACTGTAGGAGATATGGACTGTACGACAGATTTCATAAAGGCTACCGGCCTCCTGATATTAGTTTTCTGACCGAAGGATTCAAGACGATCATTAGCACAGTACCGGCTTGGCCGGAGGACAAAACATACCGCTGACACTAACACGACTGCTCTTCTTTCTGCTTCTTCGTTCAATTCCTGTTCCATTCTAGAAAGAAAAGAGAAAAAAGAAAGAGATACTCAACCACATTCAACCTACTGCGAGCTGCCAACAGTCTCCAGTTATATTTGTGGTTTGATTTATTGGCACCTATTGAAAGCTCTCTGGTTTTGTGTCTCTATACAACAGATAAATTCTTTTGCCTTTTATCAACCAATGGAGTGAACAAATCAATCAACTCACCTCAAGTCATTCTATCCTTTGCTACTGCATGCAGCTCTCCCCATGTCCTACCCATCTTTGCAGCTTGATTTTCTAATTCAGTTCTCCGTGGAAGCTTTTTTTCCCATAATACCTCTAGTGATTTTCTAATTCAGTTCTCCGTGGGAGCCTTTTTTTTCCCATAATAATTCTAGTGATTTTTAAATTCAGTTCTCCGTGGAAGCTTTTTTCCCCCTAATACTTCTAGTGATTTTCTAATTCAGTTCTCCGTGGAAGCTTTTTTTTCCCCATAATACCTCCAGTAATTTTCTAATTCAGTTCTCCGGGGGAGCTTGTTTCCCCCCTAATACCTTTAGTGTCTTTTCACATCGTACAAAGTTTATGTTTATGCTTATTCAACGGATCAGTATCATGGCATAGGGTGTAATCCATAGGTGCTCCCTTCAACCTTTAAGTCTGAGTCTGAAGAATCTCAGCGCAGAGCACCAACTCCGTTGTACCGGCGAGGATCCTGAAATACTTTGGGTAGATTTGTAACTCTAAATGTTGCCCGGGCAGCGCCGTTAGGCTACACTTTTCGATTTTCAATTGCCAAGGGATTGTTTACGTGCGCAAACAATACACACGGGCGTCCGGTCCTACTATCCAGAGACTAGGGGACATTCCTAGAAGTCCACGTGAAAACATTCCAGCCTTCACGATGGTCTGAAAATAGGACCTCTGGCACTCTAAGCGGATGCCATACCTCGAGACCACTCAGCCCCCATCGTACAAAGTTCTAACATTTCAGTTCTAGAGATTCCCTAAGGTAAAAGGAGGTATGTCACTGAAACGGACTCCTGTTAACTGCCATGGAGAAAAGCCTGATAGAGCATATCGATCACGTCTTGGAGGTCACGTTAAGAGAAGAAAACAAAGTTTTCATTGAAGCAGTCAGTAGAAGTACCTTGAAGTAGCTTCTGCTTTGTTAGACTGATAAGGCATGGGATAACCAATGTGCAGTACCGTCTGTTGTGAAGCATAACATAGTAGAATGTTCAATGTTGAATTAAAAATCGACATCATAGCACTCATGACACCCCTTGTAACTCCTCGCAATGCCATTATCCTCCATAGTAAGTAAAGATCCCTTTTCACGCCTTTGGGCGCATCAGTCACATGCAAAGAGAAACCATTTTGCTACAGACCAAACGGCACTAGGTGGGTAATGTGGTCAGAATTAGGCCGACCGTCTTTACTTCCCCAGGACAAACATCCTATTACCCATTTTAAGCTGGGTCGACCTGCGACGCCACATACCTTGATAAAACTCCACGCAGCCACCAGTGGGTTTCGATCGCGGTAATTGGGAATTACGAGTCAGACTCGCAACGCCTAAGCAACGTACGCCGCATTGTCGTCCATAGTTATATAAGGTGCATCATAGTTTAATGTGAGACCATTAGTCTGAGATGTTTTGTTTCGTCTTTTTTCCCCACAGGCCTCCATTTTGAGCGATATCGTGGTTCTCTACTTCCTCAAGGCCAGAAAACTCTACAAAGATAGAAAATTCCAAGTTGCTGAAGTCTGCCCATACGAGGTAGAACAATTGCGTTACAAATCTTACTTCAGTTTTTCAGTTACGTGAGCTCAAACATAAGATATCAGATGCAACACATATCCATACTTATCCATGCCTTTCAAACAAATGAGGAAGCCGATGTGGTGTAGCGGCTTGACGCTCGCTTGTAGACCAGAAGGTAGTGGGTTCGGGTCCTGAGGGAGTCGGGACTTGGCTCCCAAGTCCACAAAGTCTGAATGGGTATCAGTATATTCCTGGGAAGCAAAGGCGGCATGCGTGATGTTGACCATATCACCTACCGAGGGCCGATTTGTCTTAAAATTGTAGTCTACGCCTGTATGTCCAGTACGTCTCCAGAGCGTGGTAAACGGTCCGTTACTTTACAAGTAGAAGCAATCCGACTTGGAAGGCTGCTCCCAATTAGTCGACCCTACGACATGTTTGTTGGGGAGTAAAAAGAAAGCCGAACGAAAAGAAGAATAGCGAGCTTCAAAATATAACAAATACAAACAAAATGTGAACGTGTTGATCGTTGTTGTAGTGGTGATAAAGATAATGATATTGAGGATGGTGATGATAGTGATAATGCTGGGGTAGTGGGGGTGTTGATAATGATAATGATGAGGATAAGATGATGATGTTGATGATGAAGAGAAGGACGAAGACGCTGAGAAGGTTACAAAACTAAAGATATACAATGAATGTTACATTATACATTTTTTTTTCCAGACACTTCCTGAAGACACTTGTGGCACGCCTGAAGCTTGGGAAAACACAGGAAATAACATTGCTGATGGTACACATGAATCAAAGGAAGACAAAGTTGAGCCGTGAACACAATTTCTCAGCAATTTACTTTTCTGTGAGAAAGAAGGAATCTGTGTTTTTGTTGTCATATCAGTCCACCCTCCGCCCCCCCCCCCCCCCCCCCCCGCCATCCAGGTTTCCTAATCAACATTTTTTATAACCATTGAGAAACAGTCATTGAAGGGCCTTTGCGAAAGGAATATTTGATCAATAAACTTTACTTCTTGGACAAACCTCAACAGAAACCGGAGTATAAGAAATAAAGCGTGGGACGGGGGGGGGGGGGGCAGAAGAGGAGGAGGGGTAATAACGATGTTTATAATGACTAAGAAAGAAAAAGCAGCAGAAGAAGAAGAAGAAGAAGAAGAAGAAGAAGAAGAAGAAGAAGAAGAAGAAGAAGAAGAAGAAGAAGAAGAAGAAGAAGAAGAAGAAGAAGAAGAAGAAGAAGAAGAAGAAGAAGAAGAAGAAGAAGAAGAAGAAGAAGAAGAAGAAGAAGAAGAAGAAGAAGAAGAAGAAGAAGAAGAAGAAGAAGAAGAAGAAGAAGAAGAAGAAGAAGAAGAAAGAAGAAGAAGAAGAAAGAAGAAGAAGAAGAAGAAGAAGAAGAAGAAGAAGAAGAAGAAGAAGAAGAAGAAGAAGAAGAAGAAGAAGAAGAAGAAGAAGAAGAAGAAGAAGAAGAAGAAGAAGAAGAAGAAGAAGAAAGAGTAGGAGGATAAGGAGAAGAGAGTGACGATAATGATCATATTATTTTTTAAATTTGCACACTCCCCCTTTAAAAAAAAATTCTAGGTTTGCAGTCTCTATGACTAACATCTCAGGGATGAGAATCCAACCGGTACAAACGCCCCAAAACCCGTCCAGCCATATAGCCATGTAGCAAAGCTTCACGGGGGCTCCACAAAACGGTTAAGAATTAACCTGTAGTCCCATGTGGGTGTGGGTTTTTTAGTGTGCTGTGGTGATGATGATTATAAAAGAAGAAGTAGGTGATAATGATGATGATTATTATGTAAGTCGCAGATGATGCTGATAATGATGATGCTTATGATGTTGATGCTGATGATGATGATGCTGATAATGATGATGATGCTGATGCTGATAATGATAATGCTGATGATGATGATGCAGATGATGATGTTGCTGATGATGATGATGCTGATAATGATGATGCTGATGATGATGATGCTGATAATAATGATGCTGATGATGATGATGATGATGTTGCTGTTGATGATGATGCTGCTGATGATGATGGTGATGCTGATGATGCTAATGCTGATGATGATGCTGATGATGATGATGATAATGATGCTGATGATGCTGATGATGATGCTGATGATGATGATGATGATGCTGCTGCTGCTGATGATGATGATGATGATGATGCTGATGATGCTGATGCTGATGATGCTGATGATGATGATGCTGATGATGATGATGATGATGATGATGATGATGATGCTGATGCTGATGATGCTGATGATGATGATGCTGATGATGATGATGATGATGATGATGCTGATGCTGATGATGATGTTGATGACGCCGATGATGATGATGATGATGCTGATGATGATGATGATGATGATGATGCTGATGCTGATGATGATGATGATGATGATGCTGCTGATGATGATGATGATGATGATGATGATGATGATGATGATGATGCTGATGATGGTGATGCTGATGATGATGATGCTGATGATGATGATGATGATGATGATGATGATGATGATGATGATGATGATGCTGATGATGATGATGATGATGCTGATGATGATGATGATGATGCTGATGATGATGATGATGATGATGATGATGATGATGATGATGATGATGCTGATGATGATGATGCTGATGATGGTGATGCTGATGATTATATAACCTAATTGGCAGAAGATGGTAGTGGTGATAATAAAATACTTGTAATTATGACTCCGACGATAATGATTATAAAAAAAAGAAGAAGAAGAATCGGGCGGAGGAGGAGGAAATCAGGAATGCGAAGGAGTAGGAGGAAGACATGAATGAGGGAAGAGGATAAGATGGTGTTATGCTGGGATTATTTGGCATTCTTGCTTTATTGACTTCTCTGATGCTGTTAGCAATGTAGCGTTTGTTGGATTTCGTAACATGCACAAATTATTTGGAAAGTACAGTTTCTCTGACTTTCTGTAATATGTATATATAAACATTCACCCAACAATTTTTTCGTGATTGTTTTGTTGTTGATTCAATAGATCGAGTAGGTCGAGTAATTGGTTGATCCGTTTGTTGAGTGGTTGATTAATTAATTAGTCGTTTGGTTGGCTGACTGACTAGTTTGATGGCTGATTCAACATTATCATCATTATCATCACCAACATCATCATCATCATCATCATCATCATCATCAAGTGCCTTGTCAACTGGCGTAAGCGTTCATACGTCGCCACAGATCTCGGTCTTTGGTGTTAAGGTTCAATTCTAATGATATTTCTCCATGCCTCTGTCTTGAGCCATCCACCAAGATTTCTCTTGCCTCTGCCTCCTCTACCAATGATCTTGTTAGTCGTCCCGATCTATCTAGTGCTCCTTTTCTCATCACATGACCATAGAACTTTGTTTGTCTCCTTCTCATTGTTGTATATAATGCTCTTCTTTCATAAGCCATTTCCAGGCATTCAATGTTGGATTTTCTAGCAGCCCAAGAACCACATCTCAGCTGCCTCTAAACTGTTCTTAATCTCCTTCACGGGACATTGAAAAACCATAAAAACACCTCCCACCCAGTTTACCACCAGACAGTCTTTCTGAAACTAACTGATAAACGGATGTGCACTCAAAACTCAGGTTCTGGAACACGTCTAAAGTCCAGAAGTGGACGAACAACCGAACTTTCCACCAGATTTTTCAGTCGGTGAAGGCCAAGAACAAGTCTTCCGAGAACTGTGCCTGGTACCTATTCAAGGCTAAGTCAACTTAGGAGCCAAGGTCAGTTAAAGAAAAGAGTCCGGCTATGTCAGGACCCGAACCCGAGACATTGCCATCTGTAGGCGAGCGCCTAGTCGCTACACCAGCTGTTTTCTATTGCCAAATTGGTCTAGCTTGAGAATGGAGGTGGAGGCAGTCATTGTTTGCCGTCCACTGGTTTCAGAATCAGTTGTACACACATGTCGTCATTGTAGGTGACTCATAGAGCATGTTAAGAAAGGTGGAGACAGGAATGCGCCGTACATACTGACAAATATTGCTTCAGAGGTCCCGGATAACTGGCGTCCATTTGATATTTTCCCCACGGTATGCAGGTGTGTTTGGAAACGAGCACTCAGATAGACTTGTCGGTTCTGCGTCTCTTGGTGCTGAATTGATGTATGACAAGCTAGATGTTTTGAGGGCCCTTTGGGATCGAGTCAACAGTGTGGAGGCACAAATAGATCATTACGGTCTGAGAAGAATGGTGCTGCGAGGAGTTATCAGGGGATCTGGCAAACGCTCAACACTCAGGGGAAAGGCGAGACTGAAACACAGACAGTTAGCCTACTGGTGCCAGCGGAAATTGGAACTCTACGCTTGCTGATGAAGATGGGGAGCAAGCCCTTATGAAAGTGTCTCGATTTCATTCAGGTCGATTTTCAATTCAAAATTCTTTAAATTCAACTTTTGGCATTTTTGTGGCGCTTTCTAGCCAGTGTTTGGCATATTTTATAAATTTTGATCGGGTAACCCAGTTTCCTGGAAGGCATGTCACATGACAGACAAGATGGCGTCGTCAATAATACGAGACGCTGTCGCTGGTTTCTTTGAATACAATACACCAAGAATTGTTCATATCAAAGACACAACTATTGGGACCACCAACAGATTTATCCAGTTTCTAATTATTGGATACATTATTGGGTACGTATGTGTAATAGCAGTAGGGTATGTTGAAACCAGAAAGTAAGGAACCGGTCGGAGGCAGTCATGGAGGATAGGATCATTTAAATTCCCTTCCTTGTTTATAAGTTTATTATATTGATACATATTATCCTGTTTGCAAAGACTTGACCCAGCAGATTTAACGGACAACAAGACGTTTATCAGAAGGCTCTTTGAAGAGCTTCGAGCAAGGCAGGGCACTTAACTCTCTGAGTCCCAGGGGGTTTTGCATCACAGGCCCAAAGAAGGGTAATATGATTTTGACTTTTAACAAATGCAGCACTTTAAAACAAACCACACAACTGCAGCTGATGTCCAGCATACACATATCATACATGAAAATAAACATAAATGGATAAGGATAAATATAAGCATACTGCTACAACAAACATTTATACCGTTAGTTAGTATTTTGTAGAGAAAACAGTGACTTAGTTTGAGAGGTGAGTAAATTATGAACAAGTTTTTTCCACTAACCCAGAAGCTGATCTTAAAATTCTTGATATAGTATATCCAAAATGCATCACAAAGAAAGGTACATCACTTATAAGTATGCCCAGCCAATATTAAAGCAAAATGTGCAATAGTTGTTGTTCCATAGCAATTTTAATAACACTACCATAACACGTCAAAATATATTCTCCAGTGGCACAAACAGTGACTTTTCTAAAAACAGTTGAATTCCTCACATAGAAAAAAACTGTAAAGGCACTGTAAACATGTCAATCTGTTCATAGATATATATCTATGGTTTTAGACGATATGGATAGTAGTACTAGAAGCGCTGACATTTGGACTAGCTGGTGTCGTGTTACGAGGTGCTTCTCTTGTGTTGCCATGGCAGAATTAGTCAGTTTTGTCCTCTTAGCAGAAGGTAAATTACGCACACGTCCTCATCAAAACTTGACTCGTCAACGGTTTGGGGAAATTTCACGTCGCTGCTATCATTATCCAACTCCACATCAATTTAATCGATCCACTGTTTTATCAAATTTGAAGATTCTAAAGCAGTAAATCGCTTTGATGGGCGTGAAGACGATGACTGATCGGACATATTGTTTTCAGACAATTGTTTGGTAACGTAGTAGACCACACAAATATCGATTTAAAGCGTTAAAAACTCACCAGACCCAAACGAATGCACTCCACGTGTGTTCACTACACACTTGAGGACCGGAAAGGAAGTTTAAATTGAGCGGTTCGCGTGTAATTACCGATAAGTGGTAAATTAAAAACCGTCATATGTCATGCGCTGTTTGGGCCGCCAAGTAGTAACAAATTAGCGCGTGTTGCGTTCCTTGGGACCCAAAGAGTCAAAATGCCTTGGTCATCCACTGCACGGCTATCCTCCGAATAACGGTTCCAAATTATCCAGGCCGAAAATATATCCTAACAGGGCCTCACTCACATGTAAATTGACGACTTCCGGCGACTACCGTTACCGCCGAGAGTTTCTCCTGCGCCACTATGAGCGGCGTGGGGCTAAACTAGATGCCTGGGACTCACGAGCAAATAAAATGAAGGAAGCTGCAAGAGATGCGGTCCCTGCTGCCCGTGAGTCCCAGCCATCAGGTTTAGCCCCGCATAGCAGCACAGGATATACTCTCGGTGGTGGCGGTAGTCCCCAGAAGTCCGCAATTTAAGTCAGTGGAAGTCTGCAATTTACAGGTGACTGAGGCCCTGTTAGGGTATTTTTTCGACCTTGATAATTTAGGGCCGTTATTCAGAGGATATTCCCTGTATTTTAGTTCTGTAATTTTATAGTCACATCTCGCTGACTTGCAGAGTGGCAAGCATCACTTTAGAGGTCCTGGGTAGTAAGCATCCTTTGGATATTTTCTCCAGGTGATGCCGGTGCTTTGGGAAATGAACAGAAATGACTGGCCTGTTGTGAGGGCCCTTTGGGAACGAATAAACAGTACTGGAGTGCAGATAGATCATTACCGTCTGAGGAGAATGACTTTGCAAGGAGTTACCAGGGGATCTGGCTGACGCTCAACACTCAGGGGAAGGATGAAAAGGATATAAAATTAGACTGTTATTTGTACCATCAAAACTGGAGCTCTTGACTTGTTGCTGAAGATAGGGACAGAGCACAAATGACATACCCAGGTATTTTGCAAACAGAAGGAGACAGTCATCATTTTAAGGTCACGTAATGAGGAGAGAGAAACTGGATTGTGTTGTAACCACAGGAACAAGTCACTGCTGAAATACTGATACATTAGCATTTACAGGAAGTATGTCACACGTGAAAGTAACTAGCTGGCTCTGCACAAGTGTGGAGGAAACGGGTGATGAGTATTGTCTGGATTTTTTCACTGGGGACGCCGGTGTGTTGGAAATGAACAGGCGGATAGACTGGCTGGCTCTGCACAACATGGTTAAATACTGATATATGATAAGGCAGAAGTGGTTGGTGCCTTGTGGGAGAGTGTGTACAGTTCCGAGGAGCAGATGGATCACCACAGTCTACCGAAATATATGGGGGGGGGGGGGGGGGGGGGGGGGAACGAGAGGTTCTGGAAGATGCACGAGACTCAGAGGAAAGGCAAGACAGACGTTTAATCAGAATGCTACTGGCACCATTAGTTTTGGAACTCTTTGCTGTTGAAGATGGGGCGGAGCGTTTATGGGAATGCCCCAAGTGCTGTGATGTCGGTTGTGGAATCAAATCATATCAGTAACTACATCTAGTTTTCTTGGGGGCGATAGAGTTAAAACAATGGCCTGATCAGTTCCTGTATTTTGTTTGTTTCAGCTATGCTATCGTGTATAAGAAAGGCTACCAGGATGTTGACAGTGTGAAAAGTGCAGTGACCACCAAAGTCAAGGGAATAGAGTTTTACAATGACAGTCGATATGGAGTCGGAACTTTAGATGTAGCAGATTATGTCATTCCACCACAGGTACACATTCATCAATTTTTCTTCATAATCATGTTCATCATCTTTTTCTTCTTCTTCTCCTCCTCCTTCTCCTCCTCCTTCTTCTTCAGTAGAGTCCTTGAGGTTGAATGCTGCTGCCTGGCCTAACTGATCTCTGTGATCAACCTTCTTTTCTTCCCAGTGGGTGATTCCAAGTTTGTGTAGGACAAACTGGATATCATCTTTCCAGTATGCCTTAACAATTGCAGGCTATTAGAGGAGACTTAAACATATGAATTTTGATGTTGTTTCTTACCCTCCATTCTGTACTGCTTTTATCAGTACCTATCACGGAATTCACCTGACTTTGCTCGTGCGCAAGATCCTATGGCCATTTCCATTAGGGTGTCTTGTGTTGCTTCTGTTGACCGTTTTAAGCACATCCGCCCCTGATTACAGCTACCACCAACAATGGTGAAAATACAAAACTATCAGTGATTAGATACTCATGAACCATCGTGCCTTCGGCACTTTCCTCTGCAGTACTTCTTCCATGTACACATGTGGCAGTAACCTTGCCTGGATGGCTACTGGGTGTCCATGGTTACGTCTAACAACCACATACACTATCCATGTTCCTTCTCTGCTTCTTTTTCCCTTACTGTCTCACTCACTCAGCACTGTACGATCACCAATCACCATGTAGCTTGATATAATAAACAATAAAATGTTTGCCTGTCCCAGTATGTATGTCTAAGCATTCTCCAGCTCTTATGATTCGTTGGGCATTCCCTTTTAGAAACCCATTACATTCTGTTAGCTTCTTTCCTCATACTTCTGTCCCGCAGTCTGTCATTTACAGCTCCGCGCCACTATACTGGGTCAGTTTCAGAGTAATTGCTGACTGAACTGAGCTCTCTTCCAAGGGCGTCCAGTTATTTTATAGAAACTACTACCAGCTTGTCATGTGTTCTTTTTTCCATTATTTAATTGGTTAATTGTTGGAAAGTTAAATAAATCTCCATCAACTTGAAGTCACATTAATTAGGTGAGTCTAATTTATGTCAAAATTCAAATTTTTTAATGTTATAGGTGTTATATGATATTTGTCAAGAATCAGGTGTCAATGACAATTTGGTGACAACTCTGTGTCTCTGGTCTCTAGGTACCAATGTCGGTGTTTGTGAATTCATTTAACAGTCGCTTGCTTCATTTCAAAATCTCTGCGCATGGTGGCTCTTACTAGAGCGCAGCCTCTGTGTTCACTGGGGGGGGGGGGGGGGGGGGGAGAGAAATCAGCATCCTCATGCTTGAGATCTTTAACCCATGTTGTCTTTAAAAAAAAATTAATTATGTCCTGTTAATCCAATCAGTCCACTGTGGCTTCTGGTGCACTCTTATGCCGAAAACAAGAATAAACCCACCACCTCCCCAGCAAGCATGTCGTATGAGTTGAGGAACTGGGGACTTCCTTCAAATTTAGAGCGCATCTGCCTGAGAGGCAAAGAACCAAAAGTCTGTTTACAAATAAACACGATTATGTGAAACACAGATGAGCACACAACACTCAGTTTCAGGAACAAGACTAAAGTCTGAAGTTGGATGAATACCCAGAACTTTCCTTCAGAGTTTACAGCCGGTCAACGTGAGGAAGAAGAAGATGAAAAGTCTTGTTTGCAGTCTTGAGCTTATGTTGTCTCTTGTATATCATTAATGACCTCCTTTGATTCCAATGTAGGTCTGCTTCATAGGGTGGCCCTGCCTGCTAAACCATCTGTCTTTTCATTGTCTTTCACATCAGCATGGTGTGGGACATAGAAGAAGGTGATAGTTCGATGAGTTGCATTTGGTAAAGGTTGTTGCCAGGTTTTTATCACATTTCCAGCTTTGATCTTCTTTTATTGTAGAGTCACTGGCTAGCATGGACAGGTTTTTATTCTATGGTTCAAGACTGATCATAACAAACCAAACAAGCATGTAAACAGGCTTTATCTTAGTAGTTCACCATTATGCCTGTGTGGGCTGTGTGTGCAAACTGCAGAAATGTTCTCCGAGACTGTTCCTTTTACAGTCCATTAAGAAGGGAATACCGGCCCATTGAGTCAACACACTCCTCAAAACTATATGATACTAAAAAGGAACTGTAAAGAATGGTCAATGTTATCACCAGAACTAGTCTATCAGTGTAAATCAGGGATGCAGTCACAATAAGAAGAAAAAGAAGAATGGAATGACTAAGAAAACATGTATGTAGACACATTCATGTCCGTGGCCATTCTAGTTTTTTTCCTTTTTTTTTTCCAAACACCATATACTGAATGTGACTCAAAGTAGAGAAGCAGAATGTTTACTTTTTAGCTGTTATTTTTGCTGCTTCACTTTCAGGAAACAGATGCATTTTTTGTGATGACAGGGTTTATAAAAACCGCTCTGCAGGCCCAGAGAACCTGTCCTGAGGTAAGTCTCTTTTGTTGTTGTTGTTTGTGCCTGATGTTTTTTTCCTAAATGCACAAGTATTGTCAACAATCCAGAAAAACAATTAAGACTACTTCCGGTCAAAATAGACAATAGGCACAGTCACTGTTCTTAGTTATGGCAAATTGTTTTTGCTTCTGACAGACGGTAGCTGTTGCATTTTCCTCTGTTTGTTGATTCAGAGGATACAGTTTTGTTGCCCAGCTACAGAGCTAAGTGCATGGTGCAACACTGATATTTTTCTTATGTTCCCAGGGAATCTGTTTTGTTAAATATTTCATTCTTTTCATATTTAATGACTACTCCCTGTTATATATCCACTTCCCGAAACTGAGGTGGATTCAAAATGGACAAATGTGACATGAGTGGATACCAAGCATCGGCACATCAGCATCATGTGGATATACTGTCTGGGATATACAGGAGTGGGAGTGAATGAAAGAGCTGATTTTCTGGCTACAGGAACAATTGTGCTGGATAGCGGAGATATTCTGAAGAGCATTTACGACCCACAGGTTAAGAACCGCTGTGCTACAGGAACAATCTGCGTCTACACCTTTAGACATTTGCTGTGGGAGACAGAGCTTGTATATGTATGCCCAATGTGCTATGATGCTGATTCTTAAATAAGTAAAAATCTGTAACCAGTAGACCACAGATTCTAATTACCCCACCCTGGCTTTTGACAGGGGCCCTAAATATAGTCAGGTCTTTAAAATGGCCTAATGGCTGAACAGTGTTTTCAGGACCTCTTCACAGGTGATCCTCATCGGCATGGTGGCACTTTGTTTCACCAGGTGTTTATCGCTTGTGTGATGTCCTGGTGGGGTACAACTTACCTACCATCTAATTATTTATGTTTCAGAGTCCATACATACAGCAGGCTCTATGTCAAAATAATACGGAATGTGAGAGGTTAAAGGGCGCTATCTTACCCAAGGGAAATGGTAAGTATAAATAGGAAAGAGTCCATTTGATGCCACTGGTGCTTTGAGCATGTGATGCTTGACTCATATTTTAAAGGCACATGAGCCCTTGAAGGCTGATGCGGTCAACATTCTGCCTGCCATGTTTATACAGCTCCAGTCAAAAATGCTAATAAAGTCAATTTAAAAAGGGGCCATTACTGCCCTTAGTTATGACTTTTCCAGTGGCTTTCAGCCTGAGAAATTAGGGACGCATGGCTAGTTTAGTCACCTCTGCATGTGCAGTTTAGAATTGTTTCTTTTTCTTGACAGAAGAATCTGATAACCTTACTTAGGATTCTTCTGCTGCTGCTTGTTCCTCCTCCTCTTCCTTCTTCTTCTTCTTCCTTCTTCCTTTTCTTCTTCTTCCTTCTTCTTCCTTGTTCTTCCTCCTTAACCTCCACCTCCTTCATCTTAATCACCATCTTTATTTGTGTGTGTGTGTGTTTTTTTTTTTTTTTGTGTGTTAATGTAAATGTTTTAATTTTTTTTTTCATTTCAACAAAAATTTTCTGTTCAACACTAAGGGTTATAACTGGGATGTAAAGTATCCGTCGAGTTCTCAGAGTATATACAGTTCAGACTTAATAAGGAGAACTTATCAGGGATCCAAGCAGTGGTTCTTTTATCAGAAATTCCTCTTATTCAGATACGAATTTAAAGAAGTAAATTGCCTAGGATATACAAATTGTTCATCACAACAGAAACTAGCTAGATCGGAGATCCCCTTAGGCGGCCTGCACTGTATTTGTTATTTGATATATCATGAGGTTATTTATTTAGGACAGATTTGTAATTTGTTTTATTGTTTAAAATATTTTGTTTTGTTTATTTGAATGATTTCCTAGGACCAGTTACAGGTCGATGTGTGCCATCCAGTATCCCAGGGCAACCAAATGTCTGTGAAATTTATGGGTGGTGTCCGGTAGAGGATGACAGGTAAGTGATCGTGGTAGTAGAGAGGTGGGAAAGTGTCACGAAAAGTGATCATGGTGGTAGAGTGGGTGAGTGGTGAGTGATCGTGGTGGTAGAGTGGGTAGGGAAGTGTCAGTGTAAGTGATCATGGTGGTTAAGTGGGTGGGATAGTGGTAGAGTGGGTGGGGAAATGTCATGGTAAGTGATCATGGTGGTAGAGTGAGTAGGGAAGTGTCATTGTAAGTGATCATGGTGGTAGAGTGGGTAGGAAAGTGATCATGGTGGTAGAGTGGGTAGGAAAGTGATCATGGTGGTAGAGTGGGTAGGAAAGTGTCATGGTAAGTGATCATGGTGGTAGAGTGGGTAGGGAAGTTTCATAGTAAGTGATCATGGTGGTAGAGTGGGTGGGGAAATGTCCTGGTAAGTAATCATGGTGGTAGAGTGGGTGAGGAAGTGTCATGGTGAGTGATCGTGGTTTTAGAGTGGGTGGGAAAGTATCATACAAACATTCAGGGATCTCACATAATTCCTGGCTAGAACTCTGAGAACTGTGCTAGGCAGAATAGCTAGGTCAACCTACCCAGTATGGGCACTGCCATTTCAACCTACTGTGAGTATTTTGCAGAGAAAATTCATGTTTGTACAATAGTCGATAAACAACAGAGGTTGTGGACAGACATGATTACCAACACCACACAACATGGACTTTAAGAACTCTGGGCTGTCATGCAGGTGATATGGGTTCGAATCCTTGGTAAAGCTATGGAAATTCCTTCTCTCATATTTATGAATTATGACCTGCAGATTTTATGCACCTGCCATGCTTCCCTAATTCCTCAGCCTTAAGACCCGGCTACTGTCCCCACCCCTTTTCCATGCCTCAGTCAGTTCTTTGGCTTCCCTGTGTGGGCTCTGGGGCCCCATTTTGGGGAGAACAAGAATAGAGCCACTGCCTCTCAAACAAGCGTGTGGTAGGAGTCGAGTAATTGGGAGCTTCCTGTAAAGTCGGAGTACATCCGTCTGAGCGGTAAGGAACAAAGAGTCTGCATACAGTTCAGATCTGTAAAATGGATGTGCATGCAGCACTTAGATTCTGGAACAAGACTAAGTCCAGAGGTGGGTGAACAACCAGAAATTTCCACTGGACTACAGTTTACAGCCGGTGAATGCGAACAAGAAGAAGAAGAATTCATTTGCTTGTGCTTTCATGCCATTACTAACAGCTATCAGGTATCTTCTCTTATTGTCTCCATGTATCTCTTTGCATACATTTGTCCAGTTGTCTTTCCACATGTTGAGACAAATGAGTCAGAGACAATGAACCACCGATTGGAAGTGGGTATTAAATGAGGACATACGGGCAGAAACTGGTGACTGTTCTTCAAAATGTGACACTGAAAGGCAGAATGGGACTAGAAAAGAACAAGCAAATTTTATTTCCAAAGGGTTACAAATTGGGCACACAGGCCCATCTTACATCCGGCCCTTGCAAAAGAAGAGAAAGAAGCTTCCCTGTATAGATTCCGCAACCTCTTTTTTGGAGGGAATAAAGAATAGGCCCACTGCTGCCAACAAGTATTTCTTAAAAAGTGACTCATTAGGGGTGATTTCTTCAAAGTCTGAATGCATCTTCCTGAGAGGGGAGGAACCAACAGTCTGCATACAAATAAGCCAGGGCCTGGTCTCCCCTGCCATAAGATTAAGTTTTCATATTTCATTTCTAATCATGGTACAAGGCTGGTATCTTCCTCATTGTACGAGGAGAAGTCAATAAATAAGTCGCAAATGGTTGTTTAAAAAATACTAAAGGTGATAACAACTTTAAAACCATTTATTTTTACACATACACTGTCCCTTTATTTTTCAACATAATTTCCACCAACATTGATGCACTTGTACCATTGTTTTATTGGTCCTCCCACACCTGCTGCACAGAACTGTGTGCTCTGTTTTCTTAACCACATTTTCACTTCACATTCAACTTTTGAGTCATTCGCGAAATGTCTCCCACGAAGGTGGTTTTCAGTGGACCAAAAAGGTGGATAAAGGATTAACATTTGTCAGCATAAACCGGAAGCATTTCCTTGTGAATGTCTTTTGAAGGCAGCCCTCCCCCCCCCCCCCCCCCCCCCCATAAAAAAACATGCACAAAGGGACATTGTTCTTTGAGTGTGCACTCTGTAAGTACAGTCACCATTTTGTTTCTGTGTTATGAATGCGCATGCAACACCTAGTGCCACTAATGAATGGAGACATAAAGTTCGATGTTGCTTTCACCTAATTACACCTTTAGACACCACTAACTACATGTTCCTGCCATCCCATAGCCATTTGTGACTGACTTATTGATTTCCCTTTGTAAATGTTATTTAAAAAACGTTTGCTTTCTTTCAAGTCCAGATCAGGTGCTGACTTTTGAAGATATCCTCAACTTCACCGTGTTCATCAAGAACAACATAGAGTTCCCTAAGTTTGGAGTCAACAGGTAAGGACCTGCTTCAGTCGGCCACATTTTGTAATCTCTTGTAGTTTGTTAGAAGTTTCAGCCAAGACCATCATGTCATTAAATCTTTCTATAACAGTCTATAAACTATAATTCCTTATATTCTGAGATCTCTTGAACGCGCCCTTCTGTTCACTTCATATAAAATACTTTTCAGTGTCTCTGATATTTCTGCGGTCCATATTCTGTGTGGTCGACCTCAGGATTTATTACTGCTGGATCTGTATGACATTGTTCTCTCTGGTGTCCTTCTGATGTAATCTTGTAACATGGCCAAACCATTTGATTTTTTGTCTACCTATAAAGTCCAGTCTTGGTTCTATGCTGACTCTCCTCCTGATATCATAGTTTCTAAGTCCATCTTTCCTCATTACACCTAGCATAGTACGTAAACGTTTCATTTCTATCATGAATATTTTCCTTATTTCTTCTGAAGACAGTATTCATGTTTGAAATTAATGGCAGAGCGTTGGTAAGAATATTGTAATTTACAAGAATATTGTAATACAGATGGGAGGAAACATCAAGAGATGGACAAACAACAGTCTGATGCAGTGTACATACAGAGCGAAAGACAGAGTATGTGCAAGATCATATCGCAGCTAAAGGTTATTGTGAAGATGGCACCTGATTGATATATTTAGAGTGACTAGTGAGAATATTAGAATATGTTCTGCTCTATGGCAGCTAATCTTGGAATCTCAGTCAACGAATTAAGAAGAATTTGGAAGCAATAGAGCTGTGGTTTCTAAGACAAATGTTATGAATACCTGGGACGGCCAGAGTAACTAACAACGATTGTTTGAAAGAAGCTAATGAAAGTAGATCTCTGTATACAACAATCAGAAGAAGACAAACACCATTCTTTGGCCATGTAATGAGAAGAGAGGCATTAGAAAACATGGTGACAACTGGGAAGATCAGTGGAAAAAGGGGTAGAGGCAAACCAAGAGAGATGATGCTGGATGGGCTGAAACGATGGCATGGAGGGATATCATCAAGAGAGCTGTTCCAGGCAACCAGAGATCGTGATCTGTGGAGATGCATGAGCACCTATGCCAGCTGGCAGGGTATATAATGATGATGATGAATGAATGAGAACATATTTAAAATGAAAAACATTTTGTGTAATAAATACATCATTGCAGTTTAGAAAAAAAATTCCTAGATGCTATATAGAACCAACTTTAACATATGGCTATGAATCATGGACAATTAATAAACAAGACAAACAATTTCTTGAGGCATCAGATATGTTATTTTACAGAATAATGCTTTGTATTCTCTGATTGGGCATAACAAGAAACCCAGACATTTTAAATAGGTGAGGCGTTGACGATAACTTATCACAAACATCAGAAAGAGACAGTCAATGGTTTTTTTGGTCAAGCTATGAAAGGAAATAAACTTGAACATGTTGTCACCACTGGAAAGATCTGTGGAAAAAAGAGAAACAGGAAAACAGTGCAAAAAGAATCTTGACAGCCTTTTGTCATGGCATGGAGGGGTGTCATTAGATAAACTGATACAAGCTGTTGAAGATTGCCAGTTGTGGAGGGTTATGATTACCTATGTTAGTTGTCTAAGCACTTGATGGTGATAGTGAGTAAACATATGATCGGTGGCTGCATGGTCTCGAGGCATGACATCTGCCTTGAGTGCTGGAGGTCCCGGGTTCAAGCCCCGGTGAAGGCTGGGATGTTTTCACGTGGATCTCTAGTAATTTCCTCTGGTCTCTGAGCAGTAAGGTCGGACGCCCATATGTATTTTTATGCACGTAAAAAAATCCCTTGGCAGTTGAAAATTTAAAAAAAAAAACAGAGTAGCTAACCGCGCTGCCCGGCAAAATTTGGAGCCCAAAATCTACCCAAAGTATTTCAGGATCCTCACTAGTGCTACAGAGTTTGTGCGCTGTGCTGAGATTCTTCGGACTCAGGCTTGAGTCAGAAGTAGATCGAAGCACTTATAGGTTACTACCCTTGTGCCACGATGTTGATCCGTCGTCTAAACCTAAACCTAAAGGTATGATATGTTGCATGGTTAAATATCATAGCTGCAAAAGTGTATCAAACAAGCTGGTTTGTGGGCTCATTCTCTGTTGGGGAGACAGTGTGGCAGAGGGTGGTTATGACCAGCAAGTTAATTCTTTGTTGGCCACTGAAGATGTAGAAGGAGCACATGTTGATGTGTTTCAAGAGCAGTTATGTTGATTTTTGAATCATTCACTCATTCATTCTACACTCATTCACTCATTCATTTATTGACTTATTCATTTTTATTTATTTATTGATTCATTCGTTGACTCATTATTTTATTAATTCATTTACTACTTTGTGGCAAGAGCAATGGTGTTGATTCTTGAATTATTACATTCTTTCATTTTTTATTCCTTCATTCATTCTTCACTCGTTTATTCATTTACACATTCGCTCACTTCTGATTTCATCCATCCATCCATTCATTCATGCATTATTTTATTCATTCCACCATACATTCATCTTTTCATTCATTTGTTCACTCATTACTTCATTCATCCATTCTTCCAGTTGTTCATTTATTAATTTACTAATTATTTCATAAATCTATGTAGCCATCCATTCATTCATTAACTCCTTCCTTTACACATTTAATAACACATTCATTGATCGATTCATTCATTCATTCATTCATTGATTAATTGATTGATTGATTCATTGATTGATTCATTCATTCATCAGATTTTTCCATTCACTCATTCATGTATTCTTTCTCTCATTCATTTTCAGTTGTTGGAATAATCATAATTTGTTTTTAATTGTACTTTTATAGGCGAAACATACTGGACTGGTACCACAATGATTCTGAACTGTCGGACTGTCTGTGGAATGGTAACGATGAGCGAAACAAATTCTGTCCTATCTTCGTATTAGGAGACATTATAGCAGAAGTGGATAAGAATTGTACAACTTTATTAAAAATGGTAATGAAAGCGTCTTTTTTACTTTTAACCTTTCATGGGCGAAACAAATTCTGTCCTATCTTCTTATTAGGGGACATTATAGCAGAAGTGGATAAGAATTGTACAACTTTATTAAAAATGGTAATGAAAGCATCTTTTTCTACTTTTAACCTTTCTGCCGTATTCATTCCCTCCCAATTCTACCAGTGCCAGATTTTTTTAAATGAGAAAAGAAAATTAATAACCATGGAAATGACATGTTTCAGAAGGGTTGTAAAAGTGACCAGAGATAAAATCAGTAATGGGGTTATAAGAGAATGAGTCAGCACAGAACCAATTCTAAATGACATGCAAAGACAGCAAATCAAATGGTTTACCCACTTAGAGAGACTGCCTTATGACATCACACCATTTAAGGCATACACAAAAAGAGAAGAACAAAGAAAGTTAGTAACCAGTCCTCTCTCAGCTAGTTACATTTTGAATTTGTCATAGACATTTTATTTCTGCTTTTATTTTTATTTTTTATTTGGTACTTTTGTAATATCTTACCCCAGATGATGTCACAGGACAGTCCAACATTTTAGAGGGTGGTAAGACTGGGTTTTCTGGCTTTCTGATGCTTCTATTGACCCCAAAACATCTAGAACTGGCTCTAACCCCAACCCACCTACATCCCACGAGAGAGTGCAGTCTATGTCCCATGACTGCATGCAGCCTATCTACCACACCCTGAAAAAGGTTAACCATGTGACCACCTTGAAAGTCTATGGTTAACCATGTGACTACCATGAAAGTCTAAGGTTAACCATGTGATCCCCATGGAAGTCTTAGGTTAACCATGTGATCACCATGGAAGTCCCAGATTAACCATGTGATAATCATGGAAGCCTAAGGTTAACCATGTGATCACCATGAAAGTCTAAGGTTAACCTTGTAATCTCCATGGAAGTCTAAGGTTAACCATGTGACCACCATGAAAGTCTCAGATTAACCATGTGATCACCATGGAAGTCTAAGGTTAACCATGTGATCACCATGGAAGTCTAAGGTTAACAATGTGATCACCATGAAAGTCTCAGATTAACCATGTGATATTCATGGAAGTCTAAGATTAACCATATAATCATTTTTTTTAAAGCCTAATTCAGGATATTGTTTGCATCTAATTATTCAAATTCACTCAGCCCGTGAGATGAGATGTATAAGAAAAGTGACAAGAAAACAAACAGAGAGAGTCACCAATGCAGAAGTAAGAACAATAGTAGGCACATTACAGATGAATGATTGCATAGAACATCAAAGAACCAAATGGTTTGGTCATCTGTCTGAATGGAACAAAATCAGTCCGCAGGTAGAGGGTACTACATGAGAACAGCGCTACAAGGCAAGAGGCCAACCAAGAAAGAAATAGTTGAAGGGAGTAAAAGAGAAACTACAGAAACACAATATCTTCTTTTTCTTTCTTCGTTTCCTTGAAATAAATTGTCTATATCTGCAATGTTGTCTCTAGTATTTTTTTTTTTTTACGTATCTAGAAACCATGAGTTGTAAACCCTTTGGCTCGGTACTATGGATATTGCAACCCTTCGGCATTGATTCCATTATAGGTACCGTTAATCTGGGAGAAATGTGGCTTTTCTGCCTACCCCCGGGAGTGAACCCGGACCACAAGGAGTTCGTCACCCGGCCGCCGCGAAAGTCAGGTTTAACCAACTTGGCTAGAGAGCCGGGCTTGTCTCTAGTATGAACTTCACTGTCTGTTATAATTCACTCAGTGACACGTAAAGTTTGACTTGCACCGATTTTTCTCTTGGCCAAAAGTTTTGCCCTGATAGGTTGTATTTGGGACAGTCTTGGAGGACATGATCTGTTGCCTCAGGTGCCAATCCACATGTCCACATGGCTGATTCGCCGATTAAAAATTGTGTGTACATGTCGCTGCGAAGTTGATTGTGTCCTGTTCTAAGGCGTAGAATAATAATTTTCTCTGGTCTCTCCATAAAGTGGTAATTTTCTTGTGCCAGTTTTGGTGGCTTTCTGATTGATTCGATTATTCTCTTCTTTTGCTGATAAGAGACCCGTACGTCAGGTTGTTCTTCATTTGCACCTTCCTTAGCTTGTTTATCAGCTCTTTACTTTTCAGAAACTCCACAGTTGGATGGTATCTATTGCATAATTACCTTACATCGACTGCCTCGTTGGAGAATAGTGTTCGAATACCAGGTAGGTTTTCAGATTGGAGCGCCTGAAGCACCGCTCTTGCATCTGAACCCAATATAAATTAAAATGAGCTTTGCAACTAGCAGAAGAGAGGAAACAACAAGTAACTCCTCTCTGTGACTCTTCGCAAGCATAAGCTGTAGGACAAATGAAAAAGATTAAAATTTACACTGGGGAACACATTTTGCATTTCATGTTTGTTTGTTTTAGGGTGGGATGATAAAGATCATCATAGACTGGAACTGTGATCTGGATAACAGTGTGGAAGCTTGCCTGCCTCGCTACTCCTTCGTACAACTGGACAAGGGAGACTACAATTCTTCTGTGGGTTTCAACTTTAGGTAGGTTTTGTACAAATCGTCTGTGCAGTCTTTTTTTTTTTTGTGAACTGGGGTGAGAAAGAGAGTAATGTCCTTCTTACTGCCGACAGCACCACTTTTAGGAGGACGTAGGGTGGGGTCGGGGCCTAGAATCTAGGACTGCATGGCTAGTGCCACAAACTATTCAGGTTGGAATGTTCATTTTTACACTCGACACACACATATACACACACACACACACACACACACAAACCATCCCCTTACTGAGGTTTCAAACCCTGGTCTCCAGCATGAGAGCCTAGCATTTTAACCCAGCCACTGTTCAAAAGAGAGTTCTTTAAAACTATGTAGAACCAATCCCATTGTACAGAAGTGAATCATGGACAGTCAGCCGATTAGTGAATTATCGTGTGAAAGCTTCCTGTGGTTTGGTCATGTGTCAGAACTACCACCCGACGAAGTATCACAGAGAGACTTGTCACTCAGACATAATGAAAGCAGATCTAGAGGTCTACCACACAGACGATGGATAGATAGAATGTACGAGGTTGTAAATCTGTGTAGCACATAACAAGACTCTGACATGATACTTCTTCAGACCTGACACTGAGATGCAGAGCAGGTCTGGGAAAGAAGAAGAAGAAACCCTATTGGGGGGGGGGGGGTGTGGATAGACCCACTGCTCCGAACAAGTATATAAAAGACGACTAATTAAGGGTGTTTTCTTCAAAGTTTGAATGCGTCAGCCTGAGAAAAGAGGAACCCACACTTTGTCTGCATGAGCCATCTACATAGATAATCACATCATCTACATAGATAATCTCATCATCTACATAGATAATCTCATCATCTACATAGATAATCACATCATCTACATAGATAATCTCATCATCTACATAGATAATCTCATCATCTACATAGATAATCACATCATCTACATAGATAATCTCATCATCTACATAGATAATCACATCATCTACATAGATAATCTCATCATCTACATAGATAATCTCATCATCTACATAGATAATCACATCATCTACATAGATAATCTCATCATCTACATAGATAATCTCATTATCTACATAGATAATCTCATCATCTACATAGATAATCTCATCATCTACATAGATAATCACATCATCTACATAGATAATCTCATCATCTACATAGATAATCACATCATCTACATAGATAATCTCATCATCTACATAGATAATCTCATCATCTACATAGATAATCACATCATCTACATAGATAATCTCATCATCTACATAGATAATCTCATTATCTACATAGATAATCTCATCATCTACATAGATAATCTCATCATCTACATAGATAATTTCATCATCTACATAGATAATCACATCATCTACATAGATAATCTCATCATCTACATAGATAATCACATCATCTACATGGATAATTACATCATCTACATAGATAATCTCATCATCTACATAGATAATCTCATCATCTACATAGATAATCTCATCATCTACATAGATAATCACATCATCTACATAGATAATCACATCATCTACATAGATAATCTCATCATCTACATAGATAATCACATCATCTACATAGATAATCACATCATCTACATAGATAATCTCATCATCTACATAGATAATCACATCATCTACATAGATAATCTCATCATCTACATAGATAATCACATCATCTACATAGATAATCACATCATCTACATAGATAATCACATCATCTACATAGATAATCTCATCATCTACATAGATAATCACATCATCTACATAGATAATCTCATCATCTACATAGATAATCACATCATCTACATAGATAATCACATCATCTACATAGATAATCTCATCATCTACATAGATAATCTCATCATCTACATAGATAATCACATCATCTACATAGATAATCACATCATCTACATAGATAATCTCATCATCTACATAGATAATCACATCATCTACATAGATAATCACATCATCTACATAGATAATCTCATCATCTACATAGATAATCACATCATCTACATAGATAATCACATCATCTACATAGATAATCACATCATCTATATAGATAATCACATCATCTACATAGATAATCACATCACCTGCACGGCAATAGTCAAGAATCATTTGTTGAACTTTTGATTCTGCAGCTGGCCAGTCCCTGCACTCATGATTCTGCAGCTGGCCAGTCCCTGCACTCTTGATTCTGTATCTCAGGTGATAATTAGAGCCACAGAATTAAATAACATGAATCGGCGAGCGAAAGAAGAAGAAGAAATAACATGAATCCGCGAACGAAAGAAGAAGAAGAAATAACATGAATCGGCGAATGAAAGAAGAAGAAGAAATAACATGAATCAGCAAACGAAAGAAGAAAAAGAAATAACATGAATCGGTGAACAGAAGAAGAAGAAATAACATGAATCGGCAAACGAAAGAAGAAGAAGAAATAACATGAATCGGAAAACGAAAGAAGAAGAAGAAATGAATCGGCGAACAAAAGAAGAAGAAATAAAATGAATCCGCGAACGAAAGAAGAAGAAGAAATAACATGAATCGGTAAACAAAAAAAGAAGAAGAAATAACATGAATCGGTGAACAAAAGAAGAAGAAGAAATAACATGAATCGGCGAACAAAAGAAGAAGAAGAAATAACATGAATTGGCGAACAAAAGAAGAAGAAGAAATAACATGAATCGGTGAACAAAAGAAGAAGAAGAAATAACATGAATCGGTGAACAAAAGAAGAAGAAGAAATAACATGAATCGGTGAACAAAAGAAGAAGAAGAAATAACATGAATTGGTGAACAAAAGAAGGAGAAGAAATAACATGAATCGGCGAACGAAAGAAGAAGAAGAAATAACATGAATCGGCGAACGAAAGAAAAAGAAGAAATAACATGAATCGGTGAACAAAAGAAGAAGAAATAACATGAATCGGTGAACAAAAGAAGAATAAGAAATAACATGAATTGGCGAACGAAAGAAGAAGAAGAAATAACATGAATTGGCGAAAGAAAGAAGAACAAGAAATAACATGAAACGGTGAACAAAAGAAGAAGAAGAAATAACATGAATCCAATACACTAGTTCTTTTCCCTTTGTTCAAAACTGTCATAAGTCTGTTTCATTTACAGATATGCTGACCATTTTTACGAGAACACCTCTGACGCCTACATTTTTTACCGCAATTTATATAAAGTTTATGGGATTCACTTTCTTGTGGAAGTTCGTGGCCAAGCTGGCAAGTTTGGAATTGTTCCCCTCCTGTTGAATATCGGCAGTGGTTTGGCTCTTTTGGGAATTGTAAGAGAATTTATATTTTCACTGTCAGCAATTCTTATTTAAATATTAATTATTTGTGACCTGACAGATACCGGTATTGACAGAGACACTTAGGAGTTCAACTGCTGGCTGACTTCTGTGTAGGCAAAGAGTGAAAGGTGGAAGGTCACACGTTGCAAGAGGTCAGGTACAGCAAGCGGAGACGTCTGGAAGAAGACCAGCCTCAGTGTAATAGAGAATCAAAATTTTTATATGGTCTACTGAATAAGTCCCAGTGAACCGAGAGGTAAAGAAAAGATGCTGGCTTTGGATAGGACACACATTAAGGCATGCCAACCATCATCATCAGGTGCCTTGCCGACTGGCATGGGCGATCATGCCTCTCCATAATCTGCGATCTCCTGCAGCATGTATCAGTTCGTGTGCCGACACACCTCCATGCCATGCAACAAGACTGTCAAGTATCTTCTCTCGTTGTCTTCCTCTATCTCTCCTTCCACATATCTTTCTAGTGGTCACAACACGTTCTATTTTCCCTCTTTTCATAACATGGCCAAAAAATGATGACTGTCTCCTTCTGATGTATGTGATAAGTTGTCTTCGGGCTCCCGCCTCTTTCAAAACCTTTTGGTTGCTCTTTTTGGCTGTCCGAGGTATTCTAAGCATTCTTCTGTAAAACCTCATCTCTGAGGCCTCCAGAAATTGTTTGGCCTGCCTACCGATTGTCCAGGATTCACAGCCATATGTAAAAACTGGATGTATGTAGCAAGCAAGAATTCTTTTTCTAACTGTCAATGACAAGGATATATTGCACAAGATTGCCAACATACAGATAAAAGGGTAACAAGCTAGGAGTTGAAACCTTTTAATATCTCAGCTCCCACATAAGTAACAATAGCAGCTGTACCAGAGAGATCAAGACAAGGCTTGATATGGCAACAGCCGTGATGTCCCAACTGAATACAATGTGGAAGAGCAAAATCAGCATCGCAGTTGAGGTCAATATTTACAAATCACTGGTATTGTCTATTTTCGTATACGGATGTGAGAGTTGGACTCTGACTGTTAAAATGGAAAGGAGGATTCAGGCTTTCCAATTTAAATGCTACAGATGCATTTTACGATTTAGTTATTAAGAATACAAAACTAACAAATATGTCAGAGACAAGGTTAGTTGTGTATCCTTTACAGGACGTTGCAGAACCAACCCCAGCAGCCCCTGGCTGTTGTGTGGTTTCTCTCGGCAAATTTACGTCCAGTAGTTTGATGTCAGAGACAAAATATACAAATTTGCGGGACATCAGGAGCCTCTCTTGGTAGTCGTGAAACGTTGTAAGCTTACTTGGTTCGGGTATGTGAAAAGACATGATTTGATTGCAACCTTTGTTCTTTAAGGAATATTGGTGGGTAGTCAAAGAAGAGGAGGATCAAAGAAGAACCTGAAATTATAACATCAAGGACTAAGTTATTATACACTTATTAATCAAACAGAAGACAGAGAAAGATGGCTGGTTTTGTGTGTTAGTGCTTCCATCGACACACCTCCACGACCCTAATGAGTCAAGTGTTATGTTATGTTACATTATAAAGAAGAAAGAAGAACAGTAGAGCTAGAATGCTTTTTTTACTGGAACCCACAGAAGTTTAGACTAAAAAACACATGGAGGAAATGAGGTCGAGAAGTGGATAAATCTAGGACTTTCTGCCGAAGTTTGCGGCTGGGGAACATGAAGAAGAAGATACTCTACCGACAAACCTATAAATACTTGGAGTCACCGAGTAGAAACAGAAGGCCAGTCAGAGAGAGGTGAGTGGAGGTAAGTGATATTTGCAGAAATGAATCTCAAGGGCTGAAGAAGAAAATATCAGCATAGTTATGATTTATGTCAAGTTATTTATTTGAATTATATGTGTGTATAGGTATATGTGTCGGCTCTGTGGCTAAGTCGATGCAAACGCTTCGTAATGCGGGCCATGCGCCTTGAGTTGGTTTCGACAGTGGTATCAAGACAGCCGACCGTCCAGAAAGCAATGGCAAACTACTGGACGTAAATCTTGGTTCTGCAAGGTCCTGTAAAGGATACGCAACTAACCTAACCTATAGATATATGTATGTACGGGTGTGCTAGCGTGTGTGTGCTTGTGTATGTATGTCCTTGTCCCCCTTCACTCCATGCATGCATGTATGTATGCATGTATTCTTTTTGTGTATATAAATGTAAATACACACACATATGCACACAACACACACATAGGCATGCACACACACACACACACAAACACACAGTGCAGACCCGTGGAAAAAAAACAACTCACCAGGTTCTTTTAAAAAAGTGTTTTTCTTATCAGAAAAGTCCTCTTATCCAGTTAAGAATTCTACCAAGAGAAATTGCCAGGAATAAAAAAATCGTTCTTCGATTGAATTACGGTAGCTATTTTTGGTATGACGGCATTTCATCAGCAAGAAATTGTAACTTCATGTGCAGCAATCACACTGCATTGCTCTGTGTTGACATGTTGGGGGTGCTACCTCTGTGTGTGTAGGAGTGTGCGCTTGTGTAGGTGTGGTGGTGGGGGGTCTTATCATGACCTTGCCCGCAAGGCGAGAGTTCTTTCCCCCTCCCCCCTCCTCCCCATTCGTGTCTTGTGTTGTGAGATGGTTTCGTTCGCATTTACTTGCTGTATATTATGTTTGTGGGAGGTTATGTTGTCGTGAGTCTCTTTGAGGCGCCACAGGCGCCTGAGTACTAGTAAGAAGTACTGCAGAGGGAAGTGCTGAAGGTATGACTGTGATTATTAAAACTGGTATGTTTTTGTTTTTCTACATTCTTTGGCAGTGGCTTGCCCCCAGAAAATGAAGCCACCGCCAAGGAATGTAGAAATACAAAAACATCCCAGTTTTAATACTCACGAACCGGCAAGTAGCACAACGTGGAAATAATCACGCAAGTGAGCGGTGACAACACGAGAAAAGAGAGAACCATTTAACCGTTGAAAATAAAGAATAAGAGATACCCCCTCAAAATAGGACAGGGTGTGTGATCCGCAGCATGAATGAGAGGGGAGGAAACTCTCGCTGTGCAGGCAAGTTTGTCATAAATACCTATATATATTTATGTATATATAAAATCAGCATACTTTCACCTAGCAGTCTATAAAATGTGACAGCATGTAAACTGGTGGCTTCATGTTTCCACAGGCTACAATTTTGTGTGATATTATTGTCCTCTACATCTTGAAAGCCAAGACTTTCTACAGACAAATGAAATATCTGGATGTTACTGGAGATGACCCATTTCAAGTAGGTTTGAATCTCATTTGAGAACATTCTGATTTGCTAATCCTTTTTCTTTTGTGCTTTTTAATGTATACACAAGCAGAGTAGCAACTAGCCGGTGGTAGGCGTTGGGAACTTTTAACATTTGCTGAGATGTCCTAAAGGCATTAATGTGTTTCAGAGATCTAGCATTCAGATCCTGGTAATGTTTGTAATGTTAGTTTCAGCTTCATAACAAATGGGTCACCCCATAGTTGCTCCGCTCCTGTGCCAGCATAAAACACCGAATTTTCATCACAGTCCCTTGTGGAAAGATTGAACTTCACTGTCTGCTGTAATTTAATCAGCGACCCGTAAAGTTTGATTGCACCGGTGTTTCTCTTGGCCAAAAGTTTTGTCTTGGTATGTTGTTTTTGTGATGGTTTTGAAGGATGTGATCTGTTATCTCAAGTGCTAATCTTTGGCTGATTCGTCAATCTTACATTTTGTGTACATGTGGCTGCAAAGTCGAGTTTGTCCTGAAGTGAACTGAACTGATTGTAGCTGCTGCTGTGCAGATTCTCATGTTGGAGACCCAGGTTCAAAGATAAAATCCTAACCTGCTCAACTGTCAAGACAGTACTAGCCATGCAGCCTTAAATCCTGAGGTTCAAACCTCCCTCCACTGCATACACTAAAAACAGTGGAAATTACAGGCGATCTCATCATATTATGTAGTAGGTCCTTTGCAGAACGTCGCTCTCACCATGGTCTACCTGAAAGGAACTGGGTCTCTCGCCAGCTCTCCTACCTCATGTACTTTCATACTCAGGGAGTCACTTATATCCTGAGCCCATCTTTGTCTAGGTCGGCCCCTGCCCCTGCTTCCTGGTACTATGCCTTCAGCTATTATTGTTTTTCAATCTACTATGGTGCTTGAAAGTATTTCAGCTTCTAAGACAAGATACTGTTTATTAGCCAATATTCCTTGATGTTCAGTCTTTTAAAATGTCAGTATTTCTTATCTTCTTTGCCCATGGTATTTTGAGAATCTTTCTATAACATTTCTGCTCAAAAGTGCCTGTTTTCTCTCATAAGGCAGTATTGAAAACAATAGAGGAGAGAAAAGAAGCTGTGCAGGTTGCCCATAAAAGATCAGTGTCATATACAAACACTTTCACTATCAACAGCTTTCTGTGTGCGTTCTGGGTTCCCACTGGGGGAAAACAAGATTCCCTGCCTTCCCAACAAGCATGCCAAAAGAAGTGACCAACCTGGGGGCTTCCTTCGAAGTCGGAGTGCATCTGCCTGATAGGCAAGGAACTAGCCGTCTGCAAACAAATAAGCAAGATCTGTAAAACGGATGCACACTCAAAACTCAGGTCCTGGAACAAAGCCAAAGTCCAGAAATGGACGAACAACCAGGTTTTACCACTGAAGTTTACAGGTGAACACACGCAACAAACAACAGCACTGTCAACAGTTTCAGATAATCTTATCTTGTTTTGATGATTGTTCAGGAACCAGGGAGAGACACCAGCGAGACTCCAGCCACAAGTGGTAGAAAATACAAGAGTCACAGCAGACCAGAGTCTACAGAGGAATATGACAGTGCGTCATGAAACTGTTTATGAATCAAAGCTGATAGAAGATACAGTGTTAAATATAACAGTATCTTGTGTGGGTGCTATTGCTTCATCAGGGGGGGGAGATAGACTGCTGCTGCCTAACAAGCATGCTGTATGAGTCAGCTAATGAGGGATGTTTCCTTCGAACAGTCTGCATACAAATATTCTAGATCTGTAAAACAGATGTGCATGCAAAACAGATCTGGAACAAGACTGAAGTCCAAACTGGATGAACAACCAGATCTTTCCACCGAAATTTTTAGCCAGTAAAACTATAGGAAGAAGAAATTAAAGAACATATATAAGGTTGTGTGAATTTAGAATTAAGTAAGGATTCGGCAAAAAGTGACCTATAAGAGAAACAGTATGTGTTGTGTGCAATCCGAAGATCCACACTACGGACAACCGATAATGAACATAGGGTGTGACGAGAGACACGACGTCACTTGCCGACAGGAATTTATTCCAGACAGATGACGGTTGCAAGAAATGTGTTGATGGCCGAGGTTGGAAACCAGTCTTAGATGGATCCGTAGTTGATGCCGCAGTTTGCGGGGATCTGAGGCTCATTGCTCCGGATTGGAGGAACCGTCGTTTAGTATAGTGACTATACTATATGCCTTTCATTGACACCATTTACATCTGTGAGGAATTGCTTAATAAAATGCTTGTATTTGCCTGCCAACGACGTGTTTCTGGAATGTAGCAGTTTTCAAGGGTTGACTTCGTTACGGCATTTTTCTGCCAGTCGTTGGTTAGTTGACAGTTGTACCCCTAGAATAATCGTTTACTTGGTAGCCCGTACAGAAAGGAAAAAGAACCCGTACAGTATGACGTGTGTACAGTCATTGTGGGTTAGTTCAACACTAGTTTCGCCAAATAGAGTAGGTCACTTTTCATTTACAAGTTTGTTGGGCTGGTCGCCTTTCCTGAAAGTTACGGGTGTGTCCCGCTCTGTTGTTTGGTTTCTGCGATGCCTTACATTGGTGTTTTCATTCCAAGAAAGAAAATATCTGTGAAATAGGTTGCAGCAGTATATAGGTGGGTTGTGTTAGACCCAGTTTCTAAATGTGTTTTGAAGTGTCAAAAGCGCTGGTGTGCTGAAATATACAAGACACAATATCAGCGGCACTGCGGAACACTCCTGTAGCCATGTGCAAAAGGTCATGGGGCTGAGGAACTACCAATCAGAAGTGAGCTAGTGTGTATATGGAGGGGGTCTGGGGAGACTGACTTTGAACTAACCTCATTGTGATACTGGACCAGTTAGCATCTACATCCTAAGATATTTGCCTTTGGAAACAGAGCATCTACAGTTATGCCAGGTGGGCTTCGATGTCCATACTTAGATTGTCTTCCTCTTTGTGTACACTGGCGGTTAATTCAAGGGAAGAATTCTAAGTGTTAGTTCACTTCTGATCTTCAGTGTTGTTCCACATAGCCAAATATGCTGAGAAAGGTGGAGACAGGCGTGTTTCATGCAGAGTGGCAAGCATCACCTCAGAGGTCCCATGTAGGCCGGTGGGTTATGAAACAAGCAGTTAGATAGACCGGCCGGTTTTGCACCACTTGGTGGCGAATTGATGTTTTACAAGCTAGATGTTGTGATGGACTTTTGGGAACGAGTGAACAGTGCAGAAGCACAAAAATTTATCATTACGGTCTGAGTGGAGTGGTGCTGCGAGAAATTACCAGGGGATCAGGCCGACACTCAACATTCAAGGGAAAGGTGAGATGGGTATACAGTCACACAGTTACTGGTGCCATCAGAATCAGAACTCTTCAATTGCTGTTGAAGATGAGGACGGATTCCGAATTGTGGGATATCAATTCTTAATTCAACATTTAACATTTTAGTGTTGTTCCAGAACATGAGTTTTGATTGCGCATGATTTACAGATGTGGTTTATTTGTTTGCAGACTTTAGGTTCTTGCCTCCTCGGCAGATGCAGTCTGACTTTGAGGGAAACTTCCCCCCCCCCCCCCACCCCCACCTATGGCTATGTTTAGAAGGCAGTGGTCTGCACCACCTCCCCCTCAACAACTGGGCCCCAGAACCCACACAGTGAAATTCTTAAATCATAATTTAGATAATGTTACATCATGAGAACACTGTGATATGGTATGAATGTGTGTGTGCTGGTTTGTGTATGTGATGGAGAGAGTTTGTGTGAGTTAAGGAGCGATAAGGGGGAATCGAGAAGAATTGTGTGATGGTAGCAGAGAGAGAGTCAAGGGGGAGTATTCGTGAAAGTTGGGAATATCTAAGAGTTAAAAACAAAAGGGAGGAGAATTTGTGTGAGATTGAAAGAGAAAAGAAGGAATGGAACTTGCTCAAGAATTGAAGAGATAGTGATATTTGCCTGAGAGTTAAAAAGATAATGGGACATTTAAGAGGGAAAAAAAGATAATTTGCACTAAAAAAAAGAAGGCAAAAGTGTAAAAGAAATCAACTTTGCGTGAGAAAGAATTAGAGAGCTTCTTGAAACAAAAATCAAAACCACTGCATTGAGAAATGTATATCTTTCTACAAATATTAAACAGTATTATCTACCAGTTAAGCATTATATTGTCCTAGTTATCATTATCTTTGCTTTTGCTTAACCTGTCATCGCAGAAACCCTTGAGGCAAAAAAGTCATGATCTAATATTACACCCTCCACACACACACGCACGCACACACACGCACACACACACACACACAAATCCTTGAGAGAAAAAAAACCCCACTATACACATGGTACTAATAAGCTTAAAAAAAAAGTTTTAACTCTTTTCTTTTTTTTAAAGAAAGATACAAAGTGAAGTAATGAGTATTCATGAATTGCGTAAAGAATTAAATGGATTACGTTTCCTTGAACCTAAAATTTATACTGTGAGAGGATAGAGACATGCAAAAGACAGATTAAGAGCGAAAGGCGATAGTGGACAAACTAACAGACTGGAGATAGGGGAGAGACAGGCAACAGACAGACAGGCAATAGTGGCTAGAGTAACAAGCTGGAGATAGGGAAGAGACAGGCAACAAACAGCTTCAGAGAGAGAGGCAATCTATGACAAAATAACAGGCTGGAGATATGGGAGAGACAGACAACAGACAGCTCCAGAGAGACAGGCAATAGATGACAAGATAACAGGCTGGAGATATGGGAGAGACATTCAACAGACAGCTCCAGAGAGACAGGCAATAGATGACAAAATAACAGGCTGGAGATATGGGAGAGACATTCAACAGACAGCTCCAGAGAGACAGGCAATAGATGACAAAATAACAGGCTGGAGATATGGGAGAGACAGGCAACAAGCAGCTCCAGAGAGACAGGCAATAATGAACAAAGTAACTGGCTGGTGTATGTAGAGATAAGTGCTGTCATCAGCCCAGTAAAGGCGGCTGATTTATGGTATAGTCTGGACAGT